TGGGCTGCCTTGCTCACGTTCGTGCCTCTGGCACGGACAAGCTCACTGCCCGCACTGTCCCTGTGTCTTCCTCGGTTTCCCCCTGGACTCGTCTGACTGGCTTTTCTACCACCCGCCGTCTCACCGCTTCCTGCACTCTCGTGGCGTCACCTTTGACGAGTCCGTCTCCTTCTACCGCCGCTTCCCTCACCGAGGTCTCCCAGTTGCCCCCCCCCTGTTCCTTGCTCCCTCTCCCCCGGTAGCCCCTGCCCCTCTCCCGCCTCGTCCTGCCCCGTCTGGTGTCTCTCACGTCACTCCCCTCCCGTCGGTTGTCCCCGTTGAGGAGTCTGCTGACTCTGGCGGTACCCCCGGTCCGTCCTTGCCGCGTCCCCCTTCCCCGGTGCCTCCGCCCCCACTGTCGCAGTCGCCGACCCTGCTGCCGCCGCCGTCGCCGTCGCTGCCGCCGCTGTCGCCGCCGCCGCTCTTGGCCCCTGGGGGTGCTGGTGTGGAGGAGGGTGTTCGTCCTGCGGCTTCTGGGGGTGCCGCTGGTGTTGGAGGGGGTTCTCGCTCTGGGGGTGTTGGTTCTGGGGGTGCTGCTGTTGAGTGTTCTGCCGACGATCGTTCTGCCTCTGCTGGTCCGAGAGTTTCGGCCCAGCCGTCGTCGCCGCCGCAGCAGCCGTCGCCGCCGGTCTCCGCTCTCCGCCTGCTCGGCCTTCCCTCCCCGGACCGCGCGCCGGTGTCTCCCCCACCGCCTGCTGACCTTCCTGTCTATGGTCCTGTGTTCCCGCCGCCAGACTCGTCTCCGGCCCGTCTTCCTCCTCGTTCCCCTCCTGTGTCTCCTCCGCTGTCCCCTGACCCTACACCTCCGTCTCACGTTTGGGCTCGCCGTCCCTCCCGTGCTCGTCCCGTCTCTCATGTCCTGCCCACCCACCCTATGTTGCTCCGTTCCCGCTCGTCTCGTCCTCCCCTCCTCTCGTCCCCTCCTCCCTCGTCCCTTGCTGTTGCACCTCCTCCGTTCTCTGACTACCTCCGTGCTGCTCGTCCCCTTGTCCCTCGGGTCCTTGCCTCTCTTGTTACCGACCCTGTTGTTCCTGTCTCGCGCCTTGACGCGCTTGTCGCTGCTGTCGCTGACTTCGCCTCTACCCGCCGCCTTGACTACGCTACCGCTCTGGTCTCTGACCCTGCCCGTCCTCCGTCCGTCGGGGGTGCTCCTGCCCTTGGCAGTGACGTCCTAGAGGACAGGCAGTACGAGCTGGCTTTTCTTTCCGAGGTTGCTCCCCATCTCTGCTCCATGCTGTTAGTCCCTGAGGGTGACCCAGACGCCTTCGACATCCCGACCCCTCGCACCTACACTGAGGCCACCTCGGGACCTTGGGCCTTTCAGTGGATAGCTGCCATGGAGCAGGAGATGGCATCTTGGAGGTCCACCGGCACTTACGTCGACGCAGTTCCCCCGCCTGCGGAGAACGTAGTCGATGGTCGGTGGCTCTTCAAGGTGAAGCGCCCCCCTGGAGAGCCGCCTGTCTTCAAGGCGCGCTACGTGGCCAGAGGTTTCAGTCAGCGCGAGGGGGTTGACTTCTTCCAGACCTTCGCCCTGACCCCGAAGATGACCACTCTTCGGGCGCTGCTACATGTAGCAGCACAGCGTGACTACGAGCTTCACTCCCTCGACTTCTCTACTGCCTTTCTTCAGGGCAGCCTACACGAGCAGGTCTACCTGCGCCGACCACAGGGCTTCACTGGTACCTTCCCTCCTGGGACCCAGTGGCTTCTCAGGCGCCTGGTCTACGGCCTGCGTCAGGCTCCCCGCGAATGGCACAACACGCTACGTGCCACGTTAGCAGACCTGCAGTTCTTTCCGTCCTCTGCTGACCCTTCACTGTTTGTGCGTTCCGGCCAGACTCCGTTCTACATCCTTGTCTACGTAGACAACCTGGTCTTCGCTACTCCTGACAGGGACGCACTGGCCTCTGTGAAGGCTGAGCTGCTGAAGAGACACACCTGCACTGACCTTGGAGAGCTGCGTCACTATCTTGGCCTGCAGATCTCTAGGGACAGAGCAGCACGCACCATCACTCTGACCCAGTCACACTTGGTGCGCCAGGTCCTTCAGAGGTTCAGTCTTCAGCTCTCCTCGGCACAGCCCACACCTCTACCCGTAGACCATGGGCTCTCTGCTCCCGTTCCTGAGGAGCCAGTAGAGCCCAGTGGCCCCTACGCAGAGCTGGTGGGTTGCCTCATGTACCTGATGACTTGCACTCGCCCAGATCTTGCATACCCTCTCAGCATCCTGGCTCGCTTTGTGGCTACAGGCAGACACCGACCTCAGCACTGGTCTGCCGCTAAGAGGGTTTTGCGTTATCTTGCTAGTACATCAGGCATGGGGTTAGTGCTAGAAGGACGCAGGCCAGTGGTCCTTACTGGGCACACAGACGCTTCTTGGGCAGACGACTCTGAGACGCTCAGGTCGTCGCAGGGCTACTGTTTTAGCCTTGGTTCGGGTGCTATCTCTTGGAGATCCACTCGCTCGTCGTCTGTGGCTCAGTCTAGCTGTGAGGCTGAGATCTACGCTGGTGCCATGGCGGCATAGGAGCTCCGCTGGCTGACCTTCTTGCTCACAGACTTAGGTGAGCGGCCTAGCTCTGCCCCGGTCCTGTACGCTGACAACAGGGCCATGATACTCCTATGTCAGGAGCCTCGGCTTGAGGGCAGAGCGAAGCATATCCAGCTGCGGTACTTCCTCCTGCGCGAGCTACAGCAGCGCCGCCAGGCCCGTGTAGTTCACTTGGCCTCAGGTGCCAACACAGCTGATATCTTTACTAAGGCGCTTGCGCCTAAAGATCATCAGCGGCACTGTGTACAGCTTGGTCTTGTTCCTGTAGCTGCTCCCCTGTTAGGATCCTGATTGTGTACTCTCTATTATATATGCTTGTCAGACTGGCCTTGTGGCCTTACCTCCAGTGGCTGGACTAGTAGTGCCACCCTGGCTTGCTTCAGTTTTGGTTGTATTCTTGCTGACTGGTCTCCAGACCCCTGCCTCAGTGGTTGGACTAGTAGTGACGCCCTGAGCTGTTTGCTTCTTGTTTAGTTTCACCCCTTGTCTAGCCTAGGGGGTGTGTCAACTTATACATATTATCTATATAGAAGTTATAGGCTAGACTGAGGTATGCTTCTAGTGAGTACAACCAACTAGTATTTGTTCTAGGTTTGCACTTCTAGTTATTATTCGTTCTCACTTTGACAGTCTCTAGGGTTCGGGGACTTGGCCGAAAATTTTTAGGGGTTGTTGGGTGTGTGGCAGGCCTCAGGATATCAGGGTAAAATACCCTTACGGCCCTTATAATAAGGGTGGGGTAGCTGTTGGACCCTTATTTTTAAAAGTGGTTTAGTTTTTGACCCTTATGAAAAAAACTAGATCTATACGGGACCCTGTTTTTTCAAAGTGGTCGAGTGTAGGGACCCTGATGCGGAAAAGTGTTGTGTAAAATCACCCTTACACAATCACACATGCGATCCCCCCCTGAAATATTTTATCCCCTTGGCAACCTGTAGATTTCGGCTAAGTCCCCCCAATCCGAGAGTCATTCCTCCTATACCCCCCGCAACCCAAGATTTCGGCTAAGTCCCCCACTGCCTAAGGCATTCCTCCCACAGCCCTCGAGCGACCCCGAAAAATTGGTGAAGTCCCCCACTCGCAGAGACAAAGCCGCTGTAGTACCTTCGCAACCCGGAGGATTCGGCTAAGTCCCCCAGTTCCAAGTGTGTTCCAGTCAGACTCGGGGGAATAACTACTTTGAAATTACAGGGTAGCCTGAAACGAAAACAAAGCCCTGGACGTGATATGTCAAATTTTCTCTTCCCCCCTACCCACTTCGGCGAGGGAATCTCGGCGACTTGAATTGAAGTTTCCACGGGTTTTTACCTGGCCCCTGCCCGCGCACGACGGGGATTCAAGTCGTCAATTTCTTCTGCTAATGGTTTACGTTTTTTTTGCTGCCACTCACCCAAGAATTCATGCGCACGGTTACAAAACTTGCCGACTTGAATGTATAATTCGTGTTGGTAGAGTCGTATCGGCCACTACATTAGCTAAAGAAATGAAAGAACAAAAAAAAAACAAAAAACAAAAAAAAAAACAAAAAAAACAAACAAAAAACGAGTGCGGCACCAACGGGAAATGAGGTCGCGACCAGGAAGGGTCTAGGGAATGAGGTCGTATTTCTACAAGACAGTAATCACTACCAGCAAACCCGGAATGGACTCTGAAACGCGAAACGGTGAGGTCCGAGGGTCAAAACGCGAATTCCTGTTCGGTTCGATTTGGTACTTCGCGAAGTTTGGTTCTCTGGTACTGAAAGCACTAATGTAGAAATACGCACTAACAGCAAAATTACCGAGGTGCGACATTCCCCCCACTTCAGCGCTAACAAACAAAAACAAAAATCTTGGTGCACCCTGTCGAGTGCCACCCAAGGCACGTCGTCACAAATCTGCAACACGTCAGTCGTCTGATCACGCGAGATCCTGTACCTACAGTAAAGTGTAAGGCTGCGCTGGAGTTATACCCTTATGTGAAAAAGTACAAATATTTAGGACCCTTATATTACAAAGTAGCTTTTAAATATACCCTTACAGAAAAAGTGGCAGCAAGCGAGTACCCTTACAAGAAAGAGTACTTCTAATCCTATCCAGAGGCCTGGTGTGTGGGGCATGTCTCTAGCGATTGGGGACTTCACCAAATTTTTCGAAGGTTGGTACTCTACAGGTAATGAGTCAGGGTCTGTACGCGCTGTGCTCTGAAAACTCAGTACTGGGTTAGCGACAACTCTGATTTTCTCAGGATCCCTAGAATCGTACTCTGAAGGGATCAGGATTGGGAAAATGCCTTATCTGGAAATTCAGGTTTGGGAAAATAACAGGTCTGAGATTTCAGACTAATCAGAGTAAATAGTCTGATAAAATCAGCCCTGGCTAGGACCTAGAGCGGAAGCGTGAGCGGGCAGTGGGACCTACCTACTGCTGATACCATCTCAAAACTGAATAATAGTTAGAACAGGAGAGTACTTCTCTCATTTACAGCTGGCACACCCGAAGACCTCGACCTCGCAGGTTCGGCCCATAGTTTAGGCCCCTACCTCCCCAAAGCGTGTTCCGATCCGACACCCTCGCCTCACCACCCTTCCAAGCCACATCACATCCCGAGGTTCTCGCCCTAGCTCGTACAAGCCCTACTATAGCCAGTTCGCTCGTCACTTGCTCAATTAATTATTACTCCTACGGATAATCCGACGACTCAGTCAATTGTCCCATTCCCACTCATATCATGACACAAAAGAAACAAAGCGCGCATCATTCAGTCCATGCAATCAACGCAATCCCACTTCCCCCTCCCCAACTAAACACCCCACTGCAGCTGTCTCATGAGTCAAGCATGCTATCTCTCTACCCAATGGTGGCAGTCGGCCAGGGATTGACGCTGTAGGTATCCTCCGCAATAGCTGCAACCACAGCATAACATACCCGTATCGGTGGGATCCAATTAGGGGCGAAAGTACAACCAATAAGGAGCTAAATGGGCGAACCTGTAGCAAATAAGGTTGGAAAAGAAGGATGGGGAAGCACAACCCAAAGCAAAGCGACCAGACACAGACTCCTGACCCCTACACTCCAACCACAAACGAGCAACACAGTCCCCTTCCCACCCTCATACCAGCCCAGCACATTCCCCTTGCCGTGCCTGTGCCATAATGGAAAGAACCAGCACGCGCCACGCTACCTCTTACCAGCAACACTCCCTCCTCCTCCCAGCCCTACACCTCCTACCCTCCTCCCTCTCCCTCCCCACCCCAAATGCCATACCGCGGAGCGAGCAGCTGAACCCAGCGAACGCAGCCGTGCCCACGCAGTGCGTGGGCGCGCAGTACGCAAACGCGCGGTCGCCCATGATGAGCTTGAGCGCGCGGTAGCGCTTGGGGCACGCGCACACCTTCTGCCCCGCCGCGTTCGCGCGGCACACCGCCGCCACCGGGCACGTCGTGGCGTCCAGACAGTTGCGCGGGTCTGGGGGGAGGCGGAAGTACGGGGCGGCGGGGGGGAGAGGGGGGGAGGGGGGATTAGACACAGAGAGAGGGAGCCAGGTAAGGAGAGAGGGGTAGCGGGAGGGGGGAGGGGAAAAGGGTAGCGGAGACGTAACGTGGTAGTGAGTTGAAGGGAGGAGAGGAGGGAAGAGCAAGGCAGTCCAGCATGGTCGACTCAGGGAACACAAGCGCCGAGCGCCAATACCCAGGCCTCGCGCGGCAATCCGAAGCCAGCAGAGTGACGCGGGAGAAGAAGAGCAGCCGCGAGCGAGGGCGTGGCTCGCTCCCCAGATCCAATCCAAGCTTACATCGGCACGTGGCGTTCTTATTCCCCAGCAGGCACGAGCAGCCCTTGGCGACGCGGTTATCGCGGCAGTCGAGAGTGACGGGGCAGTGCTGGAACGACCCCAGCGAGCACGTCCGGTGCACTGCGCGCAGGGGGGGGGAGGAGAGAGGACAGTGGGTGAAACGGGCAGGGTTGGATGGAGAGTGCGATTGAGCGGGAGTGAAGAGAGAGAGAGAGGGCGGTGGATGAGGCAAACACGAACATTGGGCGGAAAAGAACACGCAATAGGCCCGTCATCCCCCGTACCCCTTCCCCGTTCCCCCTTCCCCGTCCCCTCCCGCTGCGCTGCTAAGCTGACCTGGCGGCGCCTTTCTCGCGGAAGGGGCGGTGGAGGCGGGCGGGTGCGAGACGGATTGCGAGACGCCGTTGAACCGCGAGTCGGACTCCAGGGACATCACCGACACCGACGCCACCGTCACCAGCGCCGCCGGAGGAGACGGCGGGGGACTCGGAGGGGGGCTCGGAGGCTTCGGCGGGGGACTGGGCGGCTTTGGCGGAGGGCTTGGCGGGGTCGGGGGCTTGGGAGGGGGACTGGGGGCTTGGGGGGAGGGGGCGGGCGAGGTGGCGGACTGGGGGGCTTCGGTGGCGGGCTCGGCGGCTTGGGCGGGCTGGGGGGTTTCGGGGGGGGGCTTGGCGGCTTCGGGGGAGGGCTGGGCGGACGAGGCGGGGGAGGCGGGGAAGGAGGCGGGCTGGGGGGTTTCGGCGGCGGACTCGGCGGTTTCGGCGGCGGGCTTGGCGGCGGAGGCGGCGGCGACGGCGGCGGCGGCGCTTTGACCCCGGGCTGCGCGCAGACGGTGGTGGCGAAGTAGCTCCAGCCGTCGACCGTCGCAGAGAGCGTCGCGAAGCTCGCAGCGCCCGTGTCGAGCTCGTTCGTGCCGACGAGCCGCACACTATAGAGACCTTCCGGAAGCGCGATGTAGGCCCTCGAAGGGTTCGGATACACCGCGACCTGCCCGCCGGAAGGCGCGGACGTAGTGTACTCAAACGCGCCGCTGTTATCAAATCCCGGATCCACGCCGGTGCCCTCGGAGTAAGGCACGAAATCCATGGCGCCCAGGTACGCGTCGCCCGGAAGACCCGGGAACTCCGCCGCGCTCGTCACGAGAAACTCCTCCCGCACCGCGTCGATGGCGAGCGACCCGGGCATGCCGGGCGTGAGCGTGGTGGTGGTAAGCGGCACCGCGGGGTTCTTAAGCGGCGTGGCATAGGTGTAGAGATTATTCGCGTCCTGTCGGAGCACCGCAACGAGGGTGCCCTTGGGCGAGCAGACCGCCTCCGTCGCGGGGTAGGGAATGGAGATAATGGCGGCGCTTGCGGGCTGGAACGCGCCCGTCGCCGGGTCGAACGGCACCTCGATAATCGCGTTCGCGTCGTCCGACACGCGGTGGCACGTGAAGAGCGCGGACGCGGCGCAGAACGCGGCGGAGAGGCACTGCCACCCCGCGGGGACGAGCTGCACCGTCGCGAGCGTCGTGCGGTCGATGCTTATCGCGCCGCCGGCCTCCGCGGAGCCGTCTGCGACGACGAGCATGCGCTGAGACGGGCCGCCGATGGCGACGGACGTCGCATTCAGCGGCGTGGGATACGGCGTGCCGGCGACGGGCGCCGTGGACGTGTATTGGATGACGTCGATGTATTTGCTGCCGGCCGCGATGTACGCGCTGCCGTCAAGTGCGACGGCGCAGCCGGACAGCGCGGCGTCGTTGTTCGCGTCGGGGTTTGCGGAGTCGCCGATTTGGCGCGTCGTGAGCGCATTGATCTGCCATGCCTGGTTGAAAACTTTGTCGGTCAGCGGGTCGTACACGCCGCCGGCTACGATAACGACCGGCACGCCGATGGCTGAGTACGGCTGCTGCGCTGCCGCGAGATCCGGCCTTGTGAAAACGGTCAGGAGGAGCGCGAGGAGCGGGAGGAGCGCGAAAATGGCCTCTCTTCGCGGAGCGAAAAGCTGCCCGTGGTGGCGAAACATGGTGGAAACCTTATTCGCGAAGGAGTTGGGGGACCCAGAGGGCCCCTGGGTGATTAAGTTGTTTGAGGAGGTGGCAGGAGGGGAGAGGCTGCTACATTCTTGCCTCTCCTCCTGGTGAGAGGCGTGATGGCGTATGGTGGCGGTGGAGTGGAGAGAGCTGTGATGTGAAGCAGAATGAATTGCTGCTGAAAGGGTATTTGATGGGAGGGGAGAGGGGAATCTGTTACTGTACACTCACCCAGGTTCAGGGACTTTTCCCCCCCACAGCTTGCTGCTGTTCTGTGGACAGGAGCAGCAGCAGCCCAAGCTTCGATTCGAACTCTGCTCTGCTTCCCAAGAAAGCCAGCAGCCCCAAACCTACCTGGTTGGCGGCGCGAGAAGAAGCCAGGCGAAGTAAATGGGCGGGGCAAGGGGGTTTGTGGGATGCTGCAGGTGGCGGGAATCGACGGAGATCAACGGGGGTGTGGGAATGGGGGGAAGCGCATGGGAGGTAGGGGGCGAGGAGGACCAGCCAGCCCACTTGACCGAGAAGTCAGCCAGGAGGTCGGGAAGGGGAGCGGAAGGGGCAGGTGAAAACAAAACATTCGCCTGGACCTGGAGGTGGAGAGGGTAAAATCCAGCTTGCTGCTGGTCTGGTATGGTGGTGAGGCAGATGTGAGAGGCGAAATGCAGTGATGGGGAGTTGTACAGTGGCACAGTCGCCGCGTGGGCTGGTCCTGTACAGCCTGGGGCAGAGCATCATGCCTCGCCAGCCAATCGCTGTGTACAAGCTTACCGCGCCGTTTGCTCCAGCCGTCAATCTTGGCCCTTGAGCCTTGGGAAATCAGACCTGCTTGCACATGAGATGCAGGGAAAAGCTGTTTGTGTTGATGTGTGGTCTGGGTCTGGGCCCAACCAAAACCAGGTCTGGAAAGGTGTACAGTACGTATCGGTCAAGTGGCTCCAAGAATGACATGCGAAACTGCTGTTCTGGGGTATGTGTAACTGAAGCAAGGCACCTGAAAGGTGGCTTTCGGTATCAGAAGGAAACTGTCATTGTGACGAGGGTTGACGACGACACGGGCAAATTTTCAGGGAAAATGAGATCCATCCCACAACCCTTGATTCTCGAGAGCACCCAGAACTTTTGAATTCTCGAGAGCACCCAGAACTGCTGTGCACAAGTTTCCCCACAACGCGAATACTGTAATGGAAGATGTCGGAAACTGGAGCGGAGACCCTCAGACGCCATGTTTTCTGTGAGCAGTGGTATGGCGTGCTGACCACTTGGGCTAATCCACCAAATCCCTACCGAGCTTGCTTCGATTGAGCAAATTGGGCACCTAGGAAACGATAAATACCGCACCAGGTTGTGTGCTTTGGCGCGTACTAAGTGACCTTCTGCGTAACATCAAATCTCTGCACCATGTAACATATAAGGGAACCTACAAAACACAATGTGGGTGGGCTGGATGGAAAGGAACGCTAGACTTACCAGTCGTTGGAAGGGCGTGTCCTAGGTGCAAAAAATCTCGTAATCGGTTTCCGGTGCAGTTAGGTTGGGCACATTTGGGCCGTGGTCTGAGTGAGCGGTATAGTAATCTTCAGTGCGATCCTTTTCCAAAATTGGCACTCAGGACGCGCCCTGAGCCTCACCTTACATGGTCTGTGTAACAGCATCTAGGAGACAAGTACCTACATGCTCGAGAGCACAGTAAAGGGTCGTTTGTCGTAATTGCGCGAACCCCCATGTTGTACTGGGATGCCATCAAAGCCTCGTCATCAATCACCCATGACAACACCATTCTATCAAGTGTCGAAGCGTGAGAAGCACTCCCCCCATTCCTTCCTCCAGGTGGCACCTCATATTTCACACGGTCTGGTTCCATCAAAGACGGGACATGTGCAAAATGTGGGGCTAGCCACATGCGAGGGTCGAGGTGACGAGCCGATGCAATGGAGGTGTCATTGGGGCCATAGATATATGCCAGGCCTGCATACAATGCCCCATTGTAGCAAGGATGAGATGAGAAGGATAGGAGCAGAGGAAACAACAACATGCAGGAGGGGGAGAAAGGAGGTGACGGGTGGGGAGAGGGAAAGGAAAAGGTCAGAAGGAAGAAGCCACTCTATGGCCATTGTGAAATTTGTGGACTCGACCAAAGGATCCGACACATAGTTCTCTTACCTGCAATTCCCCGCCGAAGAGGCCCAGGTCCATGAGTTGGTGGTCGGTCTAGGAAGAGAAAGAGGGAGTCGATGAGCCGGAAGTGAAAGGAGGTCAGGAGCACACGCACACGCGGATGAGGCGCCATGTGGTTCAACAAAGAGGCGTCCGGAGGCTGGATAGTATCCAGCCATGCCACCAATGCCTCAGCATACCGATCTGCCCATTCCTCCTCACTCACACACTCCGGCCCTGCACCATATCGAGCCTTCTCTTTCTGTCTGTTCCCCCCACACAGGTCAATCTTGAGGTCTAGAGCAAGAGTGATGTCAGCATGCCAGAAATGCTGCACCACGTGGGTGAGGGAGGGCAAGGGTGTGTGTGTGAAGTTGGGGCCGAACCACCCTCCAGCGTCTACCTGCTGCACCACCTCCCATGGCAGGTCCTCCACTCGCAGTGCTTCCTCCCTGCTCTCTCCCCTCGCACCCTCCTGCTGCCCTCTCTGCAGGCTCTCCTGCTGGCTCTCCTGCTGGCTCTCCTGCTGGCTCTCCTGCTGGCTCTCCTGCTGCCCCTCCTGCTGCCCCTCCTGCTGCCTGGACTGCATGGCTGCGAGTGGCGGCAGGGAGGAAGCGAGCCTGGTGCGGAACGTTGTGCCGTGCACGACGGCGAGATGGCCGTCCCGCGTCATGTGCACGTCCATCTCCACGCAGTTGGCTCCGCGCTGCATGCATGCAAACACAGGGGCGCGTCGGGTCGGGGACGACCAGGAAGGGACGATGTGGGAAAACCGGGAGGAGAGTGGCGAGTAGAAAGCGGCTGGACGAAACGTGAATGACACGGCAAACTGAAGGTGGGGACTCCCCTCGTTGGGGAAGCACATGGGATGCGCGAGCCTGGAGGTGGTCGTCTGGATTCGCGGCACGTCTACTAAACGTCATTAGCAACCACTAGATGCCACTGCCACCACCCGTCGAGCCTACTTACCTCGAGAGCGAGCTCGAAGGATGGCATGGTGTTCTCAGGCGCCTCGCGTCTCGCGCCTCGATGCCCGCAGCACGCGATGGCTGAACGCGTCGACGCATACGAGTTAGCGTGTGTAGCAAAAGCGTGTGACCAGATTTCGCGGCTCTGTTCAGCCGCTGCCTCGCCGCCCTGATCTGGAAGTGGTGCCTCCCCGCGCAACCCTTCCGCCGCAGGGCATAACGCGCGCCATCCGCGGGATCTGCCTGCTGCCCTTTCCGCCTGGGAATGCGCCCATTTGTGCTCGTCTGCTGAGGCCCTGGAACGATCTGGAGTTAGGGTTATAGGATCGTTGTTCGCGGATGATAATGTTGAGACGCGGGACAAGGAAGGCCAGGCCAGCAGAACAATGGATGTTGTCAAGAGGAGGGCTGCCAGGGCGCCATAAACTGCGAGTGGAGCAGCAGCAAGAGAGTTGCTCCTCATCTTTTATGACGCAGTCGTGAAAATGAGACCAGATGGATTTTACTGCAAAAAGAGCCTCCGCTTTTGGTTAGTTAGTGACGAGTCCAACGACTGTAATGCCAAACGAGTGATGGCATTACGGCGTACAGCAGAAAGCACAGCTCCAGGGACAACCACGCCCAGCCAATCACGGTTGAGATCCACACCACTCGGCTGTGGCGCGAATCGAACTCTGACAGGTTCTCGCGCGAATGATCGAGACAACCGGCTCGGAAGAACCCAAGCCCCCACCAAACAACAAACCAGGCCGTCAAACCAGGGCCCCACCAAGCGAAGCACCACAAAGCCAAACCAGGTTCGACCGTCGAGCCAAGTTCGAGCCAATGTAACCTTAAGCTCCCAGACCTCGCACCAGGCCTCATCCACGGCTGACCCAAAACCTCCCAGACCTCTCGTCTGTTGGTTCGAGAGCTCCAACCAAATTTCTCCTTGCCCGCTCACCCTTTCGGGACTGTCTGCGGCTGGCTACTCCCTCCTCCCCTTCTTCTTTCTCCCTCAGCTTCACCCCTCAGCTTTACTCATCACCCTCCAGACATGTGAATCTGGGTGGTTTCTTTGGCTTGCTCACCCAGTCAGTCATTCCAGGCATCAGCTTCTGTGGCCTGGCTCCACTCCGGTACTCACCATCGCCATCGTCCTTTTCCGATCGGCAAAGCCCGGCGGTCTCGCGGCACGTGCATTGGCTGTTTTTCACGTTCTACTTTCGTTTATGTGAATCAGCTTATCTCTCGCTTACTCTGAAACGGCAGCGTTCCGAGCCTGAGGCAGCAGCTCGCTGGCTCTAAGTTAAGGATACAATTGAGACGATCAGTCCACTTTGTCCTAACGGCTCAGTGACACTTGTAAGCATTACCTATGCGACCGCGGCCCGGTCAGGAACATCCGCCGTCATTCTCCCTCCTTAACGTGTCGTCGCCTAAGTTCAGTCTGGGAAGGATGTCCCCGTCGGAGCGGATGAAGGCGATATTCAGATCCGACGCCGCGAAGCTCACCATGTGCGTCGTAGGCGTCGTCGGCACGCTCATGGTGTACGGAGTCATGCAGGTGCGCTCTCTAATGCTCTCGTACATGCCACGCGAGGAATGTCGCTGAAGTGCCTGTCTCTGCTGCTGATTCCTGCGGATTCCGAGACTTGGTCCGTCGTTGCAACTAAGAATGGATTAGGAAATTCACTACTAGGCACATTGTTCCACAATGACACCGGTGGCTTACTGAGTTTCCTTGTCTCTTACCGGTGTAGCTGACGTCAACGGTGCACATGGGCCGCGTAACTGATAAATCTACTCTTAATTAACTCCCCGTCTCTTTTCTCCGACTCTCTCCGTCTCGTCTCGTCTTTCTTCCGGCGTCGCTCACCCCGCGCAGGAGCGGATCATGCGGCAGCCGTACGGTGCGGATCAGGAGAAGTTCCAGGAGTCGCTCTTCATCGTGCTCTGCAACCGAATCCTCACCTGCTCCCTCGCCGTCGTCGTGCTTCTCGTATGCCCCCCCCATTCACCCATCCTGTAGTTGCAGCATTTTACCAACTCTTGCAATTTCTCCTTTTCTCCCTTCCATTGACGTCGCCTTCGCTTCCCTTGCCCTCCCTCTCCCGTATTTTTCCTGTCGGTCGCTTTGAGTCATGTCCACGATTGGGTCTTTCTGTTGCCCGCTCGCTTCTTCTGATACCCCCTCTAAGCCCCGTCCCGCCAACCGGCTCTCCTCTCTGTAGATTCAAGGCAAGTCCATGGCTCCCGTCGCGCCTCTCTACTCGTACGCCGCGGTTTCCGTGTCCAACGTTGTCGCCACGGGATGCCAATACGAGGTGACGCGACGAGTGCTATGATTTCTAAGAGGCTGAGGAATGTGTGCCTGTTTGGGGCTCCGGACTGAATCCTGAGTCCTGAGTCCTGACCTACGCGTGCTTCTCGTGTTACTGCAGGCTCTTAAGTTCGTGAGCTTCCCCATCCAGACTCTCGCCAAGTCAGCGAAGATGATCCCCGTCATGGTACGCACTACAGCCTCGCTATTGCATCCAGTTACGGACTGTATGTTGTTGGTGCCAAGGTTTGCAAGTACGGAAGAGCCTCTTGGCTCGGCACTAATCCACCAGCGCGAGCTTCGGCTGCTTCGCCCCAATACATTGCTGTTGCACGACATGCGGCAACGCCCTGTTGTGTCACTTGTATAGATGCCTTACATCGTTGATTGCTTTCTCTTGGGGCGATGGGTTTCGTTGGGTGTGCGGCAGATCTGGGGCACGGCCATAATGGGCAAGAAGTACAACCTCAAGGACTACATCGTTGCTCTGCTCGTCACGGCGGGCTGTGCCATCTTCGTACTTTATGGGGTATGTCCGGCCTCCGCTCACTCTCACCGCCTCTGCAGTGTGATTGCCCTTTTTTTGTTCCCATCCTTAGACCCTCATCTGCCACTCCTGTCATGACCCTTACCTGCCGTGATAACCTCCCTTCCATCGTCTCCCCCACCCCCTCCTCCCTCTCCCCACCTTCGCGCCTCTGCCTGCGCAGGACAACAAGAAGCACAGGCAGGTGGATTCCACCTTCTGGGGCGTTCTTCTCATGGTCGGATACTTGGCGTAAGTGCTCACTGGATCTAGAATCTCCGTGCTTTGGAGACAGGCCATTGTCAGATTTGTAACGTGACGCCACGGCAGCGATGCGCCCTTGCTGTGCCTTGGCTCTCCTGCTTTCATGCGCACTCCTTTTATCTCACCTGCGTCTCCTTTTCCCCCACTTTTTCCTCCGCCACCCCCACGCCATGCATTTCCCGGCCTGTGCGTCCATGCTGAAACCTCCCGCGCCTCGTCCGCGCTGCGTCTTTCCCTGTTGCGGCTCTCAGGTTTGACGGCTTCACATCGACGTTCCAGGACAAGCTGTTCAAGGGGTACAAGATGGACACGTGGAACCAGATTCTCTACATCTCCATGTGGTCTGCGCTGCTCTCGCTGCTCGGTGCGTATTACCTGGCTCTCTGTGCTCGGCGCACCCCCCTCCCCCTTCGCTCTGTGTCTGGCGTGCATCCTCCTTAGAGCACTCTGCTATAGAGTCTGCTCTATCTGCCTGGAATCCGGCTGGACCAGCGTGTGTTTTTCAGTGTGCTCAAGTGTTGCAGTGTTGTTTCTCCCATGCCATGCCATCATGTCCGCCCATGCGCTCCCCTGTGCGCCGTGTGTGTCCAGGTCTGCGCTACCGCATTGTGTATGCCATCCGGTTCATCACCAAGCACCCCGACTGCTTCTTCCACATCTTCATGCTCTCGGCTGTACGTTTCCCCTTGCCCCGCCTCTTGCACACCCTCTTCTGAACATTACACGCAGGTCCCCAACATCACATGAATTTCAAACATCACACACATATTTAGCAGAACAATATGATTCAGACGGCAATACACACATCAGCACAGGTGTATAACTCAATTTCTCCCCCCTCGCCCGCTTCTTCCTTCTCTTATCTGCCACCTACACCATCTGAGGTCTGACCTTTTCTACCCTCGATTTTTCTCTAGGTCCTGTCCTTCAACTCACGCATTGCATGGGTGCATGTGTGGTGTGTATGCCTGCGTGGGACGGATGCTGCATGGGGTGTGGCATGCATGGCTGCATTGATGTGTGGTGGGTGCACGTGAGCAGTCCGCCACCACGAGCCAGTTCTTCATCTCATACACCATCAAGACCTTTGGCGCCCTGGCCTTCGCCACCATCATGACCACGCGACAGGTCAGCTTCTCGCACTTCTCGCTTCTTTTTCTTTTTGAGGGCGACCAGCCAGCCCCTTTTCCCTGTGCGTTCCCCATCCATGTGTTGTTTCTCTGCGTTACACTTGCATCTTGTTGTCTCTCTCCAGTCCCCCTGCATTAAAATAACATCACATGTCTCTTTATCCCTTGTTCTCTTGCCTCTGGTAACCCTCCTCCTTTTTGGTGATGCAGCTGCTGAGCATCTTGCTCTCATCTATCCTCTACGGGCCTCCTCTCACCTTCGGCCAGTATGGTGGCACGGTAAGCTGCGCTCTTGCTCTGACGCGTATGATGCTTCACCCCTCCCGATCATCTCACCTCCACCCTATGTGCCATCATCCAAATCCATACTTGCCTTCTTCTGTCTGTTTTTCCTTGAGAAATTCTCGCACTGAAGAGGCAACTTGCCATCTGTGTTCCACGCTTCTACCCTTATCTGCTTGGAATTGAAGGAATAACCATCTGGTTTGCTTTCTGCTGGTTGGATCTGTGCACAGACTATGGTGTTCTCGTCCCTGTACTACAAGTCCTACACAAACAGCAAGGAGAAGAAGGCGGAGGCCAAGAGCAAAGAGAGCAGCAGCATGGACGGGGATGGTGCAGGCAAGGAGATGCAGCCTCTAATTATGTCAGGAGGGAAGGATGGTCCGCAACAGAGAGACCAGCTGGGCATGGATGGTGATGAGAAAGAGGGCAAGGTTTAAAGCAGCTTATGCCACCACAGTAGGCTCCCTGCGCTGCCCCTTTCCTGGAAACTTGGTCGTGCTTCACTATCTGTCATTTTCAATCTTAATCGGTTTTTTTATGTTGGAACGGTGTTCCTATTTGATTGGGGCTATTGAGCATGCGACGACATGGGTTTGTACCTCCTAAGTTTTTATTGGAAAGCTTTTAAGTAGAGGATTCTTGTGACTTGGCTAGTATGAACCATTTGGAGATGTACTTTATTTGGGAAGTGTATGATTTTGCTAATCATGTACTATTTAGTGTTTTTACCATGTGCTGGCTAATATACGCTTCATGCCACTTGTATTGCCCCCCAAAACACATGTTGCCCCAGTTTCGGTGGTCGGTCAATGCACCCCGAGCCTGGGCAGCTGAATTCAGCATGGCTTCCGAACTTCATGTGAGCCCGCAGGGAACTTCTCTAGCTCACTACGTTCGATTATTTTTGCGGCTGGGCAGGGTGACCATTGGCGGACCCCACTACCGCCTTCACACGACGAGGTTCGGTGCGGTTCGTACCCAAAACGTCAGGCTGGCCAAACGGAGACGGCGGGCAGCGAGATGCAGACGTTGCTGCAGCAGCCACAGCCGTCATGTCACCCAGCCTTCACGAATCACGTTCCTCACCGCGCGGCGCGTTGTTTCGATTGACCCTGTCATGCGACATACCGTCACGCGCGATTTCACCTCGCCTCCCCGCCACCACCACCCACCACCGCTTCCTGCGTGCTGCTGGCACTCCCGTCAGCTCCTCCAGGTGCGGCACGCCTGGCGGCAATCCCGATGACTCCAAATGTGCCTAACAGAACAGATGGTGCAGGTGAAAGGGGGAGCATCTGCAGCAACACACAACACAGCACGGCACAGCTCACAGCTTACGGCTCCTACACATGGTGCAGCAACGAACTCTGCTTGACTTGTTCTTTAGTCCAACTTCGCAATACTAGCAACACACGCCGAGACAAAGCAGCGGAGAATCTGGCTGCTTGAAACGACTCAAGCCAGCATTTACTAGAGTAGTCCTTCAGCTACTCCGTACGCTGCACTCTCTCCTTGCCACGTGGTCGCATGGGGCTGGACTATTCCACCAAGGAAGTCACGTTAGTGGCTCTATTTATCGCGTTAACTTTAACCGGTATCGGCTCCGCGGAAGCAGCCACCGGCGCGTCGCAGCTACGGTTAAACCAAATTCAGCTGGTGGGGGTTCACAACTCGTACCATGTGCAACCCATGAAAAAACTGCTCGATCTCGCTCTCAGACTGTCGGACTCCTTCCAAGGCTGGCAGTACACGCACCAGCCGATCCCCACGCTGCTGCAAAAAGGCGTTAGGAGCTTCGAATTCGACGTGAGTCTAGAGTCTTTACCTTGACGCGTGCTTTCCGCGTCCTCGTCGCTCGTGCGAGCAGTCTCGTCAACCGCTCTTCGTTGACCTCTCCTGTCTCTTCGCGGCTCTCCCGTCCCGCGTCCTCTTTCTCAATCCCCGGCATAGTCCAGCCACATTCTCCGCGGTATTCTTGCGCTCTATACCTATTGTCGCTTCACTGTCTCACACCATGCCTCACACCGTGCCTCACACCATGCCTCACACCATGCCTCACACCATCCCTCACACCATGCCTCACACGATGTCTCACACCATCTCACACCAGGCTGATAGAACAAACCCACTCATGAAACCTTTGAACTCGCATTTCCGCCTCTCCGCTATTAGTTTCGTCTACAGAGCTGTCTACGCCTCTCCCTCTCCCCTCCCTCACCCCTTCCTTCCCGTGGCTCTTCTCCCCGCAACCTGCGATTCCCCCGTCGCAGGTGTTCCCTGACCCTAAAGGCGGCCTCTACTACAATCGCGATGGCATGCGCCTTATCGACCTGCCCACGGCGTCGAAAATCCCCGCTTTAAAGCGGCCCGGATACAAGGTGCTGCACGTGCAGGATGTGGACTTCCGTGCCACGTGTCTCACGTTCGTCGAGTGCCTGAAGCAGTTGAACGCATGGTCGGTGAAGAACCCGGGGCATCTGCCAATCACGGTGAAGGTCGAGGTGAAATACTCGTCGCTGGTTGACGAGATCGGATCTATCGCCGCAATGATTCTCCCCAACGCTTCGACTCCCCCCGAGATTACCCCGGCCTTGCTCACTGACCTGGAGAAAGAGGTGCTGTCGGTAATCCCCAGGTGGAAGATCCTCAAACCGGATAATGTGAGGGGAAATTACCCCACCCTGGCAGGGGCAGTGAAGACAAAGGGGTGGCCGTCTGTGGCTGTGGCATCAGGCAAATTCATGTTTGTGCTGGTTGGGGGCGCCATAGATACGTACAAGCAGAATGCGCCGTCACTGCAGGGAAAGCTGTTCTTCACTGGGCCTACATATGGGGGAACGCCAGACGCTGCTGTGGTCAGCATGGAGGTGGACTATACCTCTGCTAAGGAGGATGTGCAGAAGCTGCTTAAACAGAATGTGATTGTATGGACCAGAGCCGACGCCGATACAGTTCAGGCAAGGACGAATGATGGGACGAGGAGGCAGGTGGCGCTGACGTCAGGAGCACAGATTGTGCACACGGACTACCCTGCGGCTGAGAGGCCGAACCCGTTTGGCACGCCATATTTCGTTGCGCTGCCGTTGGGGAGAAAGGCCATGTGCAATCCAGTGACAGCGCCTTCGTGGTGCCGCCATTACTTCCTCAACGAGCCCGTCAAGGCATAGCTCTGGGTTGGGTATTTCTGGTTTATTGTTGATGGGAGCTTTCTTGTGTATACGAGGCGTTACAGATTGTGCTCTAAGTTGGATACACGATTACGAACTGATGTGCTAGTTCTTTCTAGTGATTGAGAGGTGTACGACTTGATCTCGATAGGTATATATTTGATATACGTTATGGTTAATACATTTGAATGAAACTAATACAGACGCTAAGTAGGTGGGTTTGCGAAGGCAGTTGCTCAATAGTGGGACGCCTGTTCTCCGAACACCACTGGCAAAAGTATCACTCAACTCAATCCCTAGACTCTAGTCTCAACCTACACACCCCTAGATTTAGACTATCGCCAGCTTTGCCCTGTGTAGCTTAGGATGTAGCATAGTAGCTATCCCCGGGCACGTCGGTCTCGCGCAAGCTTCATCGCTGTCGTTCGCTTGCCGCATTTCCGTTATTGTTCGAGCGCCGGATATCCGTGGGTTGTCGCGCGCTCGCACGATAAGCCCTCGGCCTCCTCGCCGTGCCACCAGCAGGACTTCGCTGGGTCTATCACCCACCAGCAGAACCGTGGCGATTCATCGCTTATTGCCTTGCGTCAACCCCCACACAGCGTCAGCGCATCGCCAAGCCCGTCTCCACCGCTCATCCGAGCGTGGTCGGTGCTTTTCCAGTTTACCACGTGAAAATCCGCGGGATCGCGGCCCCGGTCAGTAGCCCGCGAGTTGACAGACTTTGCTTCTCGACGCGCGCACCTAAAGCCGCATGGAAGGTGCCGAGAATGCACGGCATGTTGAAGGCAGCCCCGGGAAACCCGCCGGCACCGATATTGGCGCCGCCACCAGCAGCGGCGGTAGCGGCGGCGGCGACGGCGGCGGCGGCGGAGCGGGCGGAAAGAAAGTGCCTTCCTGGCTGAACAGCAGGGCCTGGTCCCGCCCCGCCAAGGCTTCCGCGGACGGCGGTCGTCCCCCGAGCCTGTCTCCGCTGACCCCGAAAGGGGCCGGGGAGGGTCCCATGCGCCAGGGGGATGGGGGAGAGTTGAGCGGACATCAGTCGGAAAAAGGGGGCGCGGGGGGAGGGGAACTAGGGAGTGGTGCAGGGGCGAGCGGGAAGGAAGGGGGAGCTGGGGGAAGCGGGGTGGGAGACAATGGGGGAGTGGTGAAGGTCGGGGAGGCTCTGGCGCGGGCGCAGATAAGCAGCGAGGCGGAGGGGATAGGCGGAGAGGGGGGGCTGGAGGCGGAGGGTAAGGGGAGCATTGGCGGTGGCGGCGGTGGCGGTGGCAGTGGCAGTGGTGGCATGAGCCGCGGGGGGGAGAGGGCTGGTGGAAAAGAAGGATGGCATGAGATGGAGGAGAGCGGGAGAGAGAAAGGAGCAAGGGAAGGGGGTGGGGAGAGAGACGGAGGTGGCGGCGGTGGTGTTGGTGTTGGTGTTGGTGTTGGTGGCGAGAGGAGCAGCGAGAGGGAGAGCAAGAAGAGCAGTCATGAGAGCACTGCCGCCAGCTCAGCAGCACCTGCTGTGAAGTCTCCTCCACGTGAGCTCGCGTCTGCTCTGCTCTCGTTCTTACTCGCGAGAAGTAGAAGCGTAGCTGTGCACTCTTTGCTTCCGCTTTTCCTCTGGACCCTACCGACCAAGCTCTCCACCCTTCTTCCCTCCGTTTCTCCTTTTCCTTCCCCTCCCTCCCTCCCTTCCTCTCCCCCAACTCCCTCCCTCCCTCCCCCTCCACTCCCTCCCTCCCTCCCTCCCACCTTCCCGCTCGCCGTTCCTCCGTTTCCCCCCCCTCCCCCTACCTCCCACAGGTCCTGGCAGGCCGCGAGCAGTCACATCCCCCCCATCCTCCTCCTCCAACACTCCCCCTCTCGGCCCACACTCCCCACGCACCACCGCCACCGCCGCAGGAGCAGCAGCAACGCGCACGTCACCCTCACTCCTCCCCATCGCCAGCACCATCAGCTCAGGGCTGGGATTGGGAGGAGAGCCCAGCACCATCATCAGCAGCATGGGTGGTGGTGTGGGGGGCGAGCGGCGGCCGAGCCTTCTGGAGCAGCTGAGGGCAGCAGCGTTTGCGGAGCCCATTGTGGTGGCGCCTGTGCTGCACGGCCGGGGGGGCGGCGGTGGCGGCGGACTGGACCCGTTCACACTGGCCACGGCGTCTGCTGAGGACCAGGCGTACGAGCGGCGACTCGCGCAGTTCTACATGGAGGTTGGGAGGGGGAGGACTTGTATTGTATGGCATGGCGTGGCACCGGGAAGCATGGTGATGGTGTGGTGTGGTGTGGTGGGGTGGGTTGGGTTGGGATGGAATGTGGTGGTTTCCGGGTCCGTTCCTTCGCACGATGTTTCCTTATCCACCTCTCATCCACCCCCCCCTCTCCCCCCTTCCCCCTCCCCCTCCCCCTCCCCCCCCCCCCCCCCCCGTGCCTTACACCACACTGCACTGTTCAGATCTTGCTGACTCACCTCCCATTTTCCTCATCGCTGCTCACTTTACTCCCTGTGCACCCCACCCCACCCCACTCCACCCCACGGCTCGGCACCATGCAGATCTCCCAGCCGCGCATCAACATGGGCGAGCTGCGGCGCCTGGCCATGTACGGCATCCCCAATGAGGGCAGCCTGCGCCCTGTGGTGTGGAAGGTGGGTCACGTGCATCTCCCATGCTCCATACTCTGCCCCATAGTGTAGGGGCATGCCATACCATGCCATTCCATGCCATACCATGCCATACCACGCCATACCATCCCATCCTATACCATGCCATCCTATGCCATGCCATACCATGCCATGCCAAACCATGCCATACCATGCCATGCCATGCCATGCCATGCCATGCCATACCATGCCATGCCAAACCATGCCATACCACGCCATGCCATGCCATGCCATGCCATGCCATGCCATGCCATGCCATGCCATGCCATGCCATGCCATGCCATGCCATACCATGCCATGCCATACCATGCCATACCATACCATACCATACCATACCATACCATGCCATACCATACCAAATTTCCTCAGAGTTCACCCCTTGCACTCTCCTCCTCTGTGTGTCTTCCCAACCGTCATGGGACACAACACCACCACCACCACATGCGCGCCATGCCATACCATGGCAGCTGCTGCTGGGACTGCTGCCACTGGTGCGGGACGAGTGGGAGTCGGAGCTGGCGAGGAAGCGCCGGCAGTACGACAGCTTCACCGCTGAACTCATCATCAACCCGGTGAGCCATCGGACCCACACCGCCCACACCCACACCGCCCATGCCATCGCATGATTCTTGAGGCGCCTCACTCCGCCTCACGCTCTTGATCCCGTGCAGTCATGTGCATCCCGCCCCTGCGAGACTCCTGCCCTCTGCTGCTTCCACCCGTTCCTTCTGATCCCGCCTCTATCCTCGTCAGTCCAAGCACACAGTCGACCTTACAGCGCCCCATGCCCCCCCAAAGGAGCAGCAGCAGCAGCAGCAGCAGCAGCAGGAGCAGCGGGCAGCAGGCAAGGGCGGGCCTTCGTCCCCGCTGCACCCCCAGTCAGGCCCGGCTCTTTCGGACAAGCAGGACTTCGGTGCGGCCACAGGGGAGGGGCTAGCTGGGGAGACAAGATTGAGGGCAGGGGAATCTCTGCAGCATGGGGAAGGTGCCGGTCACAGGGGGGCAGGGGGAGGGGGAGGGGGAGGTGGGGCAGCAGAGGAGGTGTTGGAGCTACATGGGAGTGACGTGTCGTCGCATGACCATCCACTCAACGATAAGCCGACTTCCGTATGGCGGCAGTACTTCCAGGTGCGTGCTTTGTGCTCTGTGCTCTGTGCTCTGTGCTCTGTGCTCGGTGCTCTGTGCTCTGTGCTCTGTGCTCTGTGCTCTGTGCTCGGTGCTCTGTGCTCTGTGCTCTGTGCTCTGTGCTCTGTGCTCTGTGCTCTGTGCTCTGTGCTCTGTGCTCTGTGCACTGTGCTCTGTGCTCTGTGCTCTGTGCTCTGTGCTCTGTGCTCTGTGCTCTGTGCTCTGTGCTCTGTGCTCTGTGCTCTGTGCTCTGTGCTCGGTGCTCTGTGCTCTGTGCTCTGTGCTCTGTGCTCGGTGCTCTGTGCTCTGTGCTCTGTGCTCTGTGCTCTGTGCTCTGTGCTCTGTGCTCTGTGCTCTGTGCTCTGTGCTCTGTGCTCTGTGCTCTGTGCTCTGTGCTCTGTGCTCTGTGCTCTGTGCTCTGTGCTCTGTGCTCTGTGCTCGGTGCTCTGTGCTCTGTGCTCTGTGCTCGGTGCTTTGTGCTCGGTGCTTTGTGCTCTGTGCTCTGTGCTCGGTGCTTTGTGCTCTGTGCTCTATGCTCTGTGCTCTGTGCTCTGTGCTGTATGTACGTGTGGTGGAAATACTTCCAGGTGCGAGCGGTGCACTCTATGCTATGTGCTCTGTGCTCTGTGCTCTGTGCTCTGTGCTCTGTGCTCTGTGCTCGGTGCTCTGTGCTCTGTGCTCTGTGCTCTGTGCTCTGTGCTCGGTGCTCTGTGCTCTGTGCTCTGTGCTCTGTGCTCTGTGCTCTGTGCTCTGTGCTCTGTGCTCTGTGCTCTGTGCTCTGTGCTCTGTGCTCTGTGCTCTGTGCTCTGTGCTCTGTGCTCTGTGCTCTGTGCTCTGTGCTCTGTGCTCTGTGCTCTGTGCTCTGTGCTCTGTGCTCTGTGCTCGGTGCTCTGTGCTCTGTGCTCTGTGCTCTGTGCTCTGTGCTCTGTGCTCTGTGCTCTGTGCTCTGTGCTCTGTGCTCTGTGCTCTGTGCTCTGTGCTCTGTGCTCGGTGCTTTGTGCTCGGTGCTTTGTGCTCTGTGCTCTGTGCTCGGTGCTTTGTGCTCTGTGCTCTGTGCTCTATGCTTTGTGCTCTGTGCTCTGTGCTGTATGTACGTGTGGTGGAAATACTTCCAGGTGCGAGCGGTGCACTCTATGCTTTGTGCTCTGTGCTCTGTGCTCTGTGCTCTGTGCTCTGCATTCAATGCTCATTGGCGTTTCCTGCCCCTCTGTGCCCTTCTCCTTTCTTGCCTCCCTTGCATTCCATGTGTCCCCTGAACCCCTTGCATTCCCTCGCCCCCCAATTCCCCCCAGGACTCGGAGATATTTGAGCAGATAGACCGGGACGTACGGCGCACGCACCCCGAGATGCTCTTCTTCACTCGCAACGACGGCTCCGGCCTCACTCCCGCGCAGGTGCTCTCAGGGAGAGCCGTGGGGACGATTCCAGAGCGGGCTGGGGGATGTGAGAGGGATGGGAGAGGGGTGGGCGAGGGATGGCTGACATGTGAGGATGGGGAGGACATGATGGATCTGGGTGGGGAGAGGAGAACATGGAATCTAGCTTCCTCACGGTGACAGCTGCACCCCGTGCCGTTGGGTTCGTGCTCTTTGCTCTGTGCTCTTTGCCCTGTGCCATTTGCCCAATGCTGTCGCTTCACACACACGCCTCTGCTCACATTCGTGGCCTTCCCTCCGTTCTCTCGTCTCCCTCGCATTCCCCCCCCCACTTCCCCACCTCTCCCCTTCGCCCCCCCCCACCCCGCCAGGAGGCGATGCGGCGGCTGCTGCTGATCTTTGCGAAGCTGAACCCTGGCATCCGGTACGTGCAGGGCATGAACGAGGTGCTGGCGCCCATCGTCTACGTCTTCGCCAACGACCCCGACAAGGCGCACGCCGTGCACGCCGAGCCCGACGCCTTCTTCTGCTTCGTGGAGCTGCTGAGTGACTTCCGGGACTTCTTCTGCCAGCAGCTGGACAACAGCGTCGTGGGCATCCGGTCCGCCATCTCGCGCCTTGCGGAGATTCTCAGGCGGCACGACGAGGAGCTGTGGCGCAACCTGGAGTATGTGTCCAAGGTGCGTGGGATGGGGAGGGAGGCGTGCGTGCCTTGGGAGTGTGTGCCTTAGGGAGTGTGGGTTTACGTGCATGTGTATGCAGATTCCTTGCAACCCTATGTCGGTGTCCCTTGGGGTGTGCTTTCACGCGCATGCGGTTATATCCTTCCTGCTCCAGACTCCTGCCTTTGTTCTGCCTACATCGCACGAGCTTGCCCCATACTGTTCTTGTCAACCATCCTGTGCCGGTCTCGCGCTCCTCTTCCTTGTCCTCCGTGCTCCACTGCCGCTGCTGCCAGGTGAATCCTCAGTTCTACGCCTTTCGCTGGATCACCCTGCTGCTCACGCAAGAGTTTGGGTTCCCTCAGATCCTTCGCATCTGGGATGCGCTCCTTGCCTGCCCTGAAGGACCCATGGTATGTGTGCTTGCAGTGCGGTGTAGATGTATACCAGAAGTCATCACATGTGCGTATCTATCCAATCCACTGTGTGCTCCTTGTGTTTACTGTCTGCTTTTGCATGCTTACACGCACCGCAGGCAAACTGCGTGCTGATTCACCTTCACGAAGTCCTTGTGTTCCCTCTCTACCCTCCAGGACATGCTTCTGCGTGTGTGCTGTGCCATGCTCATGTGTGTGAGGGAGAGGCTTCTTGCTGGGGACTTCACCAACAATCTCAAGCTGTTGCAGCGATACCCTCGTATAGACATTGAGATCATTCTGCGCACAGCAGAGAGGTTGCACACATAGCATGCGCTGCATGTACCGTACTCTAGGTAGTGAAGAACATCCTTATTCTCAAGTTTGTTCAGCAGTAGCATTCTGATAGTGCAAACCACAGATGGAAACAATTATTGTACGAGGTAGATTGCTCAGCATCCTGGTGATTTGCTGGCATTTATAGGTGGCATAGTAACGTACCGTACTACGTTTCGTCGTCTCTCTTCCTTTCCCAACGAACCTTTTCACATCTTCACGTGACATCTTGAATAATCCTTGTCATCCCTCCCCTCTGTTCATCTGTAGCGAATACTACGAGCCCAAGTGGAGGGCGGTAATCCAATTTACACTGGTGCAAAATCGTTTTGATGAACGAGTATCATTTTAAGTAATAGAAATCATTTTATATTCATTATAAGGCGTTTATCAAGAGTTCCAAGACCACCTTACAAGGTGGGGGCGCGGTCAGCAGCAGAGCCCAGAGCGGTCAGGAGGTTGTTGCCGAAGGGGTCGCTCAAGTGGGTGGTCAGGTTCTCCACTGGGCCCTCGCCGGTGACCTTGGCCTGGATGAAGAATCCGAGCATCGAGAACATGGCAAGACGGCCATTCTTCAGCTCCTTCACCTTCAGCACGGCCAGGGTGTCGGGGTCCGAGGCCAGGCCAAGGGGATCGAAGGAACCGCCGGGGTACAGGGTGTCGAGGTCCTGAAAGAAAAAGAAAACGCGCGGGTTTGTCAGGTTCCGTTTGAGGTGAACGAGTGATAGACAGAACGAGCGCTGATCCTCCAGGAGGCATCGCGATACTCCCCGAAGGAGAACATATTGCACTACTTACAGTGCCGAGGGGAGAGGCGTTCTTCCCGCGGAAGTACTCAGCACCGCCGACAAGGAGGACCTCGGCGATGGTGGCGGCAGCCAGGTTGACGGGGATGGTGGCACCCAGGTACTGGATGCTGTCACCCTCGAGCAGGAGAGCGCCGGTCTTGAACCACACGGCCTCGGGGCCGCACACGCCGGGCACGTACTTGTTGAACGCCTCGGGCAGGATGAACCCGGCGGCGCCGAGCATGGCCCAGCGACCGTGGATCACCTCGTTGGCGCGGTACTTCTCGAAGTCAGCGGGCTTCTTGCTCAGACCGAGAGGGTCATAGCCATAGCTGCAAACGGAGAAAATCTGATGTTAGACACCAGGTACTCGCTGAACAGCTGATGGCAATGATGGAAATTGTGGTTTGTACTTACTCGCCGGGGACCTCGCCGGTGAGGTAGGACGGGATGTCGGCCCGGTCGAGGAGACCCTCGGGCAGGTAGGTCCTGCGGTCGGGGCCATACCACTTGGCGAGCTCGTCGTTGGCAGGAGCCGCGGCCTTCTTGGCAGCGGTCTTCTTGCCCTTGCTCAAGGTGGCAACGGTCCTGGCGGAGGACTCGGTGGACTTGATTGCTACATTCTGGCCAAGGAATGAGCTCCTGAGGACAGCGGACGAAGTAGCCACAGCAGCCATGGTTGTGTGTTGGTCTGTGTGGTGGCAAGCTTCGAACGCTAGGGGAGTGGGCGAAAGAGCTATGACAAAACCCTCTAGCTATTACAGGTGGAGCAGGGAGGATATGAAGCAGTGAGTAGAGAGGTGGACCGACGAATTCGGCAATGCGGGCTGCGACCAACTTCGAGGATTTCGCGTTCAATTCCACGATGCCTACGTGGCGGCAGGACATTGCGCGAGAAGGTCCGCTATCCTATCTCCCTTGTCTTTCATTGGTCGATCAAACCTTGTTACCCAAACAGACCCTTCGGTCACTCGTTTGTCGCACGCCACAAAAAGCAGCCAGGCCAACCGTGAGCCACACAAGTTCCGCACATGACAAACCTAGGATCAGCACTGCACTGGAACCCTGTGTAACGAATACAGCTTTCCGTAGTAGCACAAATACAAATGGTAGATAAAATACATGCTAGCAATATTTTTTGTAGGAGGCAATACACATGTATGGAAAGTGAGAAAAAAATCCAGTATCCACAGACCGTGAAAAAGATCGTTTCAAAGTTGGTTTGAACAACCCTTGCCATTTATTAATTCCCAAACTTCCCACATCAATTTGGAAGTTGAGACGAAATTATATCCATATGAATTCATAAGCGAGGTTCTAGATGGATGCATATTTAGTAGGGGTGGAGTATGAAGTACTGTTTTTAGGCCAATTTTGAAATGCTGAGATGCTGTTACAAAAAATCCATAACCCGCAGCAGTCCCTTCCCAGCCCCCTCCGAGCGGGAAGGGTGCGGGGGGGGGGGGGGGGGGGGGGGGGGGGGGGGGATGCGTGACATTACCCGTCGGTCACCGGCGGCGGGGTGACTACTGGGGGGGAAAGGGGAGGGCGGAGAGGCTGCGCGCCACTGGGCACTAGGTAGTGGGCAAAGCCCGAGGGCCGGCTGGAGGCAAGTTGGTTGAAGTTGCGGGAGTCCGGCGGGACTTGGGTCAACGAACAGAGGGGGCTTTGGCGGAAGGTTGTGCAGTGCTGCAGCAGGCTGGAGAGAGGGGACTTGCGGGGAGGACTTGGTTCCGGATGGGTGGGAGCTGGGGGAGATGGGGGGAGCTGGGGGAGCCGGGGGCGCTGGGGGAGCTGGAGGGGAATGTTTACCTGCTGCTGGAATCACACACATTGCATTGTACCACCACCTATGCTTGGCCAGGTAGGCAGGCACCGTAGGATGTTGCGGACCTGCATCGTGACCGTCGGTCTCTCACCGACCATCGAAGATACCACTTAATTCATAGCTGCGATCGACGTTTTCCCAGAGCTAAGTTTAGAGCCTTAGACCACGTGAAGGATGGATGAACGGCAATGGCCGACAATGACAGACTTCAGGGATTTCATGGCTTGATGTTGCCTGACCAGTCGCTGCTTTAGTAAAGTCGCCTGACTGCTGATTTCTGGCGGGAGATTTTCAACGCGGGACGGACATATTATCGCACCGTCCTGGTTTCCATCGTCCTAGTTCACGAGGTCTGCGCGTTCCAACATAGATTTGGCTTCCGCCATGGGTCGAGGTGCGTCCGCCATTTAGTGTGCCCGCTTCTCCTTGCCACTTCTGCATACCATATCCCTCCGCCTATCCTCCGCTTATCCCTCCGCCTATCCCTCCGCACAATGATTCGTAGGCTAACCGTCGTCGGTCACGTCTGTTTCTTACTTATCCTGTCACCTCTCAAGCTCCCACCATCCTTCTCCTTCACTGGGCCCAAGCAGTAGCCTTGCTAAGTCCTGCCACACGCAAGCACCTATAAGAACCGCAGAGCACCGAGAGCCTCGAGAGCACCGAGACTTTCGAGATCCTGGAGCATTTGTATCCTTTTGACACTCAGTTTCATCCCCTTAATCCATTCCTAGCACCTGTTCCTTCTATGCCATCACCGTCTTCAGAAGAAACGAGCTTATCAGCGTCTTTCCCTGCGCGAGGTTCCTTTGCATTGCCCACTTTTTTTCCGCGCGCTCACTTTACACGTACGGCGACAAAGGAACCCGGTTAATCGCACGTCACAGCATTCTCACTATCCCGCTTGCCTTAAATTGCTGCCATTCTACATCATTATGCTGCCATTTCCTATCATGCTGTCGCTTGCCCGTGCTTTGAAATCCTCCCCTCTGTCACATCCTCCTCTCTACTTTCCCCACCCCCCCACCCAACCCATCGCCTCCCTTCTTCCCTCCCATCCCCTCTTTCCCGTCTTTCCTTCCCCCCCCCTTCTCCCCGCGCCTTCGCCGGTTCAACATTCCAGCTTCCGCTAATGTGTTGCGCCCATGGGGCCACCTCGACGTCGGCAAGCTCGAGGTTCAATTTCAATCGCAGGCCCCCCCGCCCTCCCCCTCTATGCCTTCCCGCACCCCCGAGCCTGCCAACGAGCCTCCCCCCCACACCGCCTTCTCTTCGCTCTGGGCCATACCGGGCCTCGCAGCAGCAGCTTCCGCCGCAGCAGGCGCTGTAGCGGGGGCAGCGGCGGGGGTTTCCACCCAGCTCGGGGACGCATGGGGCCCCGGAGGCGGGCGACAGCAGCTGAGCGCGGGGAGCACCCGCGCGGGCAGCTCCGGCGGCGGCGCAGCTGCGGGGGGCGGAAGCGGCGGGTTCGGCGGATACAGCAGCGGATACGGTGGGGGGGCGGAGCGGGTGTTGGGGGAGCGGATAGCGCTGAGCAGCTGGCTGGAGGACGAGGATATGCACGTGGCGGTGACGGAGAACGCGGAGATGATGGCGCTGGGCAGAGGCGCCACGCTCATCGTCTTCGACGGCCTGCCGCTGCCCGACGGCCGGTCAGTGGGGCGTGGGGGACACAGGGGAGGGGCCGGGCGAAGAGAACGGAATGGATGGAGGGGTTCGGGGATGGTTTGTGAGTGACGTGAGGGTGGGGAGGACAAAAGTGGAGTGAGGAGGAGCGCGAGCGGGGCTGGAGGAGGGGAGGAGGGGATGAGGGCAGGAAGGCAGGAGGGGAGGAGTATGGGGATATGCTCTTTTGTTGCCATGCTGGTGATATTACCACAGTGCAGCTTGTGCGAATCTGAACCACATTCGCCTAATCTCTCACGCCACGCGTCCCACCCTCCCTACCCACCACCACAATCATCATCGTCACGCACAACAAGCCCCACAACAATAACCTTGTCCCGCCCCATCTGCTTGGCACCCTTCCTCCCACCACCATGCACACTCCCTCCCACCCGCCCTCTCCCCTCGTCCCCTCCCAGGCCTCGCCCCGGGTGTCACCTGGACCCAGTGGTGATAGTGCCGGCCTGTGAGCCGGACGACACCATAACCGCCCTCGAGTGGCTGGTCTTTTCCTCCTTTGGCCCGCGCCCCGTGCCCACGCCCCCCGGCCGCCCGCCCGGGTGCTTCTACTGTGTTGCCGTGGGCACTGCTGCGGGGTTCGTGCTCATTTATGCTGACTCGGGCGCGCTGCTCCTCAAACAGGTGCGTGTGATGCGTGCGTGTACTGTGAAATGTGGTGCGGGGAATAAGGGGGAAGCGTGGTGGCTGGAAGGAAGGGCGATGGTCACGAGTACGAACTGTGCAAACCTCGTCTGCAGGCTGCAGCATAAAAGCACGTGGATGCATTTGATTTGAAGACAGGATGCTAGTCTGTTCCTTTCCTGCCTGTGTGCCTCCTCTTGCATGCACCGCACCTCCCAACAACCCACCTCTTGGGTTTTGTTTCCCTCTTCCTCCTGGTCTTGCGTGTGCCCCTCCTGCGAGGAGATGGTGTGCATGGAGCCGGTGGTGCGGGTGCGCTGCAGGCACGGGCAATGCGCCCAACTGCTGAGTCATATTCTGTTCGTGGGTGCTGTTCCGTCATCAGCCATCCATCCCCTCTTGTTTCTTGCATGTGTTCCGCCCACCCCCCTGCGGCCAGATGGTGCACACGGAGCCGGTGGTGCGGGTGCGAGTGCGGGCAGTGGAGTCAGGCATGGTGCGCAACGACGGCACTCAGGAGCTCTGTGTCGTCACGCGCAACGCCACCCTCATCATCGCATGCACTCAGCTGCAGGTCCGCTCCCTATCCAACTCCCTCTCTCTCCCACGCTCTAGATGCCCTGTCGAGTCCTTTTCTCCGCACGCAGGGGCTACCTGCTCACCCCTATCCCATTCCGCTACCTGCTCCGCCTCCTCCTCTGTCCGTGTCTCGTGCTCTCCAAGTCGATTCAACCCCCCCCCCCCCCCCCCCCTCTCTCTCTCTCTCTCTCTCTCTCACTCTCTCTCTCTCTCTCTCTCTCTCTCTCTCTCTCTCTCTCTCTCTCTCTCTCTCTCTCTCACCTCTCCTTCCTGCCGCTCCTCCAGGCGTTGCTGCGGCAGCGAGTATTACAAGTGGACGACACCCTCTCCCTGCACAACCCCCGCGGCCTCGCCTCCCGTCTCGCGTACCTCTCGCACGCGCGCCGCCCCCCGCCCACACGTGACGAGGAGGCGCTCAAGGCCTTTGCGGTGCCGCTCAAGAAGTGGCGCACCGGCAGGGCCGGCACGCAGTGGAGCGACGGCGCCGTTGCCGGCCTCTTCCCTGCTCCGCTCTTCCAAACCCAGGTGCGCGTGCTGCTTGGCACCCGCTTCCGTTCCTCCAAACCCAGTGTACGGCTCGGACAAATCGTGTGATGTGAACGAGTCGGTTTATGCTGCGTCCACAATTGTGCCTGTCCTTATCAGCTTCACATCCCAGCCTGCGGTATCTCTCCATTGCCAGCTCCCCCACTTCCATCTCCATCTCTCCCACACCCATCTCCGCTGATCCCTCTCTTCTCCATCCATCTGCCGTTCCCCCCTCTCCTCTCCCGTGTGTATGTCCCCCGTTCACCATCTGCAGGCCCCCAAGCAGTCCCTGTGCATCGTCACTGTTGGCGTCCACCCCACCATTGCTGCATTCGCGTGAGTACCTTTCCTGCCTCCTCTCCTCCTCACCCTGCGGCTTCCTGCTCCATCCATCTATCCATCCATCCATCCATCCATCCATCCATCCATCCATCCATCCATCCATCCATCCATCCATCCATCCATCCATCCATCCATCCATCCATCCATCCATCCATCCATCCATCCATCCATCCATCCATCCATCCATCCATCCATCCATCCATCCATCCATCCATCCATCCATCCATCCATCCATCCATCCATCCATCCATCCATCCATCCATCCATCCATCCATCCATCCATCCATCCATCCATCCATCCATCCATCCATCCATCCATCCGTCCATCACCCTTCATCCTTGCATCCCTCAAGCCCCGGTCATCCCCCCAACCGCTCCTGTTGCCTAGTCCTCGCCCATGTGCCTTTCCCTCTTGCATCCTCTCCTCCCCATGCATCCTCTCCTCCCCATGCGTCTTCTCCTCCCCATGCGTCCTCGTCGCCCCATGCATGTGTGTGCCATCCTATCGCAGTGCCACGGAGCAGGGAGGCTGGGTGCAGCTCGCATCATCCTTCGCCACCAACGTGCGCACTAGAGCCAAGTCCGCCGCCCTCTCCCTCACCCGAAGCCTCGGCCGCGGCCCCCGCCGCATGCTCTCCAAAACCCTCTCCTCTTCCCAAGACCCCTCCAACCCCTCCTCCGAGCCCCTCTCTGACTCCTCCGCTCCTCCCTCCGCCTTCTCCCCGGGTTCCGCATCCCCCACTTCCCGCTCCTCCTCCCTCTCCACCTTCTCCCCCACCTCCTCCTTCTCCTCCTCGCATGCGGATGACGACGCGCCACACTTCTCCCGCCCGGCGCCGCCCGAAGCAGTGGAGGCGGGCCAGGCGATGGCGGTTGTGGCGGGGTTCAAGGACCACGTGCGGCATGCGCAGAGGCTGGCCGTGGCGCCCAGCGGCACGCTCATGGCGCTGGCGGACAACCTGGGGCGCGTGCTGCTGCTGGACACACAGATCTTTGGGGTCGTGCGCATGTGGAAGGTGCGTGGGGGCGGGAGAGGGGATGGGGGTGGGGTGGTGGGAGGGAGGGGAGATGGAAGAAGGGAGAGGGGAGAGGGGAGAGGGGTGAGTGGGATTGGGTGGGAGTTTGGTTTGAGGGTACATCTTGTGCTGTCAGCCACATACTGCGATTGGACCCTGCCTCTGCATGTATGGGCACTGACGTATGTCCCCTCGCACTTGTTTATCACGCATGGATGAAACATGTGTGCGTGCACCATGGGCCTGATGGGCACATGTGTGGCATGATGGGCATGATGGGCACATGTGTGGCTCTGTCTCTCTGCACGGCAGGGCTACCGCGATGCGGAGCTGGCGTTTCTGGAGGTGCCGATCATGGGCGGCACTATGACGTCCATGGCAGCAGCGTCGCCCAACGTGCACCTGCTCATGCTGCGCCCACGCCAGCTCGCCATGTGCCTCGCCATCTTCGCCCCCAAGCGGGAAGTCATCGAGGTCTGCTCTCCTCGCTCGTCTCTTCTCCTCTTGTCTCTCACGTCGTGAAGGAACTTTTTTATGTGCCGATCCTCTGGTCTTTTCCTGCATATCTGCCCCTCTCCACCCCTGCACTAACTCCCACCATACACACACACATCCCCTCATTCTTGCTCCCTAACCCTCCACTCCCTTCTCAACACCCTCTCCCGGCTCCCCCCCCCCTCCCCCCCCCGCCCCCCGCTCCCCCCCCTCTCTCCCCCCGCCCCCTTCACTCTCAGATTTGGCAAATGGTGGGAGGTCCCCGTGTTGCCCTAATCCGCTGCCCAGCCAACAGCCGGCTCCTACAACCGTCCCCTGTGATCGGTGCCGCACACACCACGGTTCCCCCCATGGCTCCCCTGGACCCTATTCGGCAGCAGCAGCAGCTGCAGCTGATGGAGCAGCAGCACATTCTGCAGCACCCGGGGCAGCACCCGCGTGTGCGCAAGCAGCAGCTGCTCCTGCAGCAGCAGCTTCTGCGGCAGCAGCAGCAACAGCAGCAGCTGCTGCTAGAGAGCACGGGGATGGGAGTAGTGGGTGCCGCTGGTGTGGCAGCAGGGGCAGGGGAGGGAGGGGGGCAGGGGGGGTCGGTGTTACCAGAGGCGTTACAGGTGGCGAGGCACAGGGCGTTTGTGCTGGATGGGGCTACAGGGTACTTGTCTGAGATCCTCCCCGCCATCTCCATCACCCCTCCGTACGTGCCTCCCATGCTCGAACCCTGAATCTCCTCCCATTTGCTCCTGTATCGACATGACCCACGCACCATGCTGTCTCCTTTTATCTCCTCCCCCCACTCTCCCTTCTCATGTCCCCTCACCCCTCCCACCTCCCCCCCACGCCCTCTCTCTTTTTCCCCCCTCTCATCCCCTCCCCCGCCCCCGTCTTCCTCTTCCTCCCGCTCTCCACTCCCCCAAACGCCTTCACTGCAGCAGCAGGGCGGCGGCATCAGACTCGTCCCGGCCGCACGACTCCCTGACCGAGGCGGACGTGTTCCAGCGCCTGTGCGACCTGCTGAAGCTCAAGCGCAACGCCCGCGCCGCTGCACAGGAGGCCGTGGAGCTGCTGCGGTGGAAGGCGGAGGAGGAGGAGCGCAGGGGCGCGGAGGAGCAGGGCGTGTACGAGTACGACGAGGGGTACAGGGAGCAGATGCGCATGAGGGGGCTCGGGGAGGTGGGGAGGAGCGGGGGGAGGGAGGGCCCGGGGATGGGGGAGAGGGACGGGGAGTTTGAGGGCGGGGGCGGGGGGCTGAGGATGAGGCTGGGGATGGGGCTGGGTGCTGGGAGGGGGAGGGATGGGGATGCGCAGCAGCAGGAGGAGGAAGATCTGGTGCTGCTGCTGCTTGGCGCTCTATCTTCCCCCGTGCGCAAACTGCAGGTGACTGACTGCTCCCTCCCCCCTCTCCTTTTGCTGCGCTGTCGCTCCCCATCGTTACCCATTCCGCTCTTTCCTCTGCTGGAAACCTCCCTTCTCTTTCATTCAACCCGCACCCCCCGCTCCCCCCCCCTCCCTCCCTCCCTCCCTCCCTCCCTCCCTCCCTCCCTCCCTCCCTCCCTCCCTCCCTCCCTCCCTCCCTCTCCCTCATCCCCTTCCCCCTCAGGTGCTGGACCTGCTAGTGGCCACGCGCGCCTCTCTCTCCGCGTACTGCCACCTGGCAGTGCTAGAGGACGTCTTAGCCGCAGTGGAAGAAGCCATCGACTACAACCAGGGCATCGCACGCGGGGGTAACATCCCCGGCATGGGCCCCCCCCGCCCCCCCGCCCTCCAAACGCCCCTCCAGGGCTCACCATACGACCCATCGTCTGGCCGCTACAACCCATCCATGCCCCCTGCTCATGCACCCATGGGTGGTCCTTACCATGCGCGAGGGGCGTGGGTGGGAGGGGGGATGGGAGGGGACGGATGGGAGATGGCGGGAGGGATGCATGGCGGAATGGGGGCGGATGGCATGGGTGGGGATGGGAGGGACTGGTACAGAGGTGGGGGCGGGGGAAGGGACATGGGTGGGGGTGGGATGGACGCGGTGGGATGGCGGGGTATATGGGCAGTGTTGGTGGTGTTGGTGGTGGTGGTGGGAGTGTGGGAGGGGGGAAGCAGCTGACGCGGGGGAAGAGCTGGGCGAGGCGGGTGGACGACAAGCTGCTACAGTACCTGCAGGAGAGGCGCGGGCTGCTGCGCTGGCAGCGCCTGCTAGTCAAGGTCTTTCTCAAGCTCAGGGACGACCACGAGGAGGAGCCAATGGGCGCGGAGGAGGAGCGGCCAGGGGAGGGCAGGATGAGGGGTATGGGGGAGGAGGCGAACGGGAGGTGGTACCGGGAGGGCGGCATGGGCATGGGCATGGGGGGTATGAGAGGAGGGGCGGAGTCGGGGGAGGACGAGGAGGAATCGGAGCTGAGAATGTCGGTGAACTGGGAGAGGAGGTGGATGAGGCGGCCTGGGATTCAGGGTGGGGGCAAGGGGCGGGTGCTTTCAGAAGCGGAGGAAGCGGCGCTGGTGGATGAGACGGTAGAGCGCAAGGCGAGGTACCAGTCGTTAGTGGCGGACCTAGGTGCGTGGATCAACGTGTGCGAGTCCGAGTCCGAGTGCAACCTCCTCTGGATGGAGACACAGGAGGTGAGGGCGCGCGTCCCAGCCCCTCCCGCTGCGGCAGCTGCCGCTGCAGCAGCAGCGGCAGACGCAGCTGCAGCCGCAGCCGCAGCAGCCACAGCTCGAAGCTCCACCACAGAGGAAGCAGAAGCATCTACTCCTGGTACACCCCCCACCTCCTCCACTATCATTGGCGATGGGTTCACGGATCTGACCATCCCTTGGCCTATCGAGGAAGCCACTCCCCTGCCTCTCTCCTGCAGTGAGTTCTTGCGCTGCTTTGGCTTTGACTCCCGGTGGGCGCCGAGGGAATTGCCTGAGGACAGGAGGAGGGAGAGGCAGAGGAGGAAGGCAGCTGCCGCTGCTGGTGGCGGTGCTGGTATTGGGGGTGTCGGGAGCATGGGCAGTGGGTATGGTGCGGGTTACGGTGTGGTAGATGGTGGTGCGTATGGTGGTGGTGGGTACAGTACCAGAGGCGGCAGCAGCAGCCGCGGCGCGCGCAAGGGGTTGCAGAGAGGAGGCGCGGGTGCAGCGGGAGAGGAGCGTAGCCACGGGCTGTGGCTAGCCATCGGCGAGGACGTGAGTGAGCTGCGGGCTCTCTCGCACTTCATCATGCGGAACATGACGCGGGGGGAGGCGGGCACGCGCAAGCTCTTCCAAGTGCTGGATGTGGTGGGGCTGTCTCGCGAGGACTGGCAGTGCCTGTTCCTCGTGTGGTTCCGGTCGGTCAAGGTGGATGATCTGCTATCGGTGGGTCTGGATGTGCTCATGGACGTGATTCACTGCATCGGATGGCTGCGCGAGGACGAGGACGAGGAGGAGTATGAGGAGATCAGCATGCTGGATTCCCCCGGCCCTGCTTCTGCTGCTGCTGCTGCTGCTGTGGGAGCGTCTGGCAGAAGGGGCATGGGAGGGTCAGAGCAGGCGAGGCTGGGGGGAAGAGGAGCCCGGTCCATTCGGATGAACCTGCGAGACCACGTCCCTCCGGGCGGCCGCTTCCCGCTCTTCTTTGGCTGGTGCCAGGTCACCGGCGCGGTGGCCAAAGCCCTCTTCATGGCGCGCCTCTGTGCTCAAGTAGCCAAGGAGAACCTCCAGCACATAGCGCTGGAAATGGTCAGAGGTGCCGCTCCCGCCGCCAGCCCCAGACGGCTGACGCGGCGCTGGACACATGGCATGGGCGCGGGGGCGGACAGGGGCATGGGGGGGCAGCTAGGGGAGGTGGATCTGGTGCAGGCGAGGATGGAGGGCGCGACGATGGAGAAGCGCATGAAGCGGCTGCAGGAGGACTCGTTTGTGGAGCAGCGGGGTCTGGAGCAGTGGCTGCAGCTGGCCAAGCAGGTGGACGACGCGTGGATGCTGGGCCGCGCCATGCTGCATATCACCAAGCTGTCGGCCGCCCATGGGATCATCGTCACGCGCTCGCGTGTGCCGTCCGCAGCGGAGGTGTCGTCCTTCCCTGTGCCGCTGTGGGTGGCGAAGCTGCAGTTGCTGATATCGCCGGCATCTGGGGTGGTGCGGCACCTGCACATGGCGCTGCTGCACTCTGTGAAGGAGCCGGCGTCGAGGCGAGAGGTGGGGATGAGGCTTCTGGAAGAGGCGAAGCAGCTGGAGGCGGAGAGGATGGGCGAGAGGAAGCGCGTTCCTGCAGTGTCGAAGCAGCCGCAGCCAAACCAGCAGCAGCAGAACTCGCAGAAGCAGCAGCAGGAGCAGTCGCAGGCACAGCAGCAGGTGGAGCAGCAGGTGCAGAAGCATCAGGGGGAGCGGGACCAGAAGCAGCAACAGCAGCAGAAGGAGCGGCAGTTGCATGAGCTCCGGCAGAGGGAGCAGCACGAGCAGCAGCGGCAGCAGCTGCAGCAGCAGCTGCAAGTGGAGCGGTTCAAAGGCGAGGTGAAGCGGGGGGGTATGGGTGAGCGCGCCAAGGCACGTGCTCGCGCCAAGGAGAGGGCAAAGAGAGGAGCGAAGATGGAGTGGGACGTGGGGACGCTGTTTGGAGAAGAGGAGGAGGAGGAGGACGGGGAGGGAGGGGAGGAGGGGAGGGAGTATGATGAGGGTGGGGGAGAGGGTTCGGGTGTGGGGAGATCCGAGGAGGAGCAACGAGAATCGGAGGCGGGAGGGGGTGGAGGAGGAGGAGGGGGAGAAGGAGGAGGGGGAGGAGGAAGAGGGGGAGGAGGAGGAGGAGGGGAAGAGCAAGAGGAGGCGGAGAAGGAAGGGGAAGCGCGAGACAGTGTCAAGGGTGTGGCTGAAGGTGGGGGTGCTCCTTGCGAAGACGAGGGGGAGAAAGATGCAGGAGAAGAGAAGGAGGGCGAAGAGAAGGAGGGCGAGGAGAAGGAGGGCGAGGAGAAGGAGGGCGAGGAGAAGGAGAGAGTGGCTGAGCATGGAGAGGGTAAGGAGGGAGATAAGACGGATGAAGGGGAGGGATCAGGAGAAGGGGTTAAGGGGGGGGTGGAGAGTAGCAGAGGGGAGGAGGGAGCAGCAAGGGAGGGTAAGGAGCAGGCGAGTGAGGAGCAGGGAAGCAGGAGCAGTGGTGGCAGGGGACTGAGTGATGGTGAGTGGGTGGAGGGAGAGGGAGGGTCTGTGCAGGGGAGCGAGCAGCAGGGGAGCGAGCAGCAGGGGAGCGAGCAGCAGGGGAGCGAGCAGCAGGGGAGCGAGCAGCAGGGGAGCGAGCAGCAGGGGAGCGAGCAGCAAGGGAGCGAGCAGCATAGAAGCCTGTCGTTTGGGAGTGAGGGCGAGTGGCGGGCCAACCACGAGGGGAGAACGTCCATTGGGCGAGGGTCAGTACGCAGCTCGGGGGGAGGAGAGAGGGACCGCGACAGTGAGAAGAGCAGCGAGAGGGACAGCGAGCGAGAGGGAAAGGAGTGCGAGAGAGGACCTGGAGGAGCGGGAGCAAGCGGGGAGGGGAAATGGCTGGAAGGGGAGCGGGGCGCGGAGAGGGACGGTGGGGTGGCGATACTCCCCCGGCCTTCGTCGCTGCGAGGAAAACTCGACATTGTAGAGTTCAAGGGAAGCAGCATGCTGCGGGCGAGGAAGCTCCTGCATAGGGAGGCGAGGGAGAGCGGTGTTCATCCCAGCGGCAGCAGCAGTACCAGCAGCAGTGCTGCGGCGCTTTTGTCGTCGACGATTGGGGAGTTGGTGCAGGACGGGCGTGAGGTGGATAGTGTGGGCGAGATGCCATCCACTCCCAGCAACGACAGCCGGTCCGAGCGATCGTCAGAGCGGCACGAGGCAGGGGATAGGGGCGACAGGGAGCGGGAGAGGGAACGGGAGCGGGAGCGGGAACGGGAGCGGGAGAGGGAGTTAGAGAGGGAAAGGGAGAGGGAGAGGGAGAGGGAAATGGAGGTGGAACGAGAGAGGGAGAGGGAGAGGATGGAGGTTGAGGGGCAGAGGAGGACAAGTATTGACGGACCACCTGCACCACTGGACCCCCCTCCTCCTCCGCCGCCTCTGCCCCCTCCGCCTATGATGCTGGAAGAGGAGAGGCGGCGGAACATGGCCTTGGGGATGGGCGTGGGGGGCATGGGGGGCATGGGCATGGGTATGGGTATGGGGCCTCCAGGCATGGGGATGGGGATGGGGGTGGGGCCTCCTGCCATGGGCTCTGAAGAGATGGGACATGCAGGCATGGGGATGGGGGGTGCAGGCATGGGGCCTGATGGCATGGGACCCATGGGGGGACCATATGGGCCCGAGGAGCGGTTTGACGTGCGTGCGCGAGGGGAATTCGCGCGAGGGGGGTACGAGACGTATGAGGAGCAGGAGCAGTGGTACGAGATAGCAGAGATGGAGGCAGAGAGGGAGCGCGCGAGGGAGCGAGAGATGGAGCTCGAGCGGGAGAGGGAGAGGGAGAGGGAGCGCGAGTGGGAGAGGGAGCGGGAGAGGGAGATGGAGCGGCACATGGAGATGGCGCGGGAGAGGGAGCGCGAGATGCTGGAGGCGCAGGAGGCAGCGAGAGCAGCAGAGGAGTCGATCGAAGCCCAGGCAGTGGCAGAGGCAGTGGAGCTGCTAAAAGAACTGCTCGTGCGCTTCCCAGTGACCTGCAACATGGACATCCTTGCTGCTCACCGCTCCCTCGAGCTCTGCCGCCAGTGGACACAGATGGTTCCTCTCGACCGCACTGCACCGCTCCCAGCCACCGGGCCGGGGGGAATGCCGCTCAGCCTGGTGGTTTCGAACCCTGTGCGGGGCTTTGAAGTGGATATGAACGACCTGCTGTATTTCACGTACGAGCACGCGTCTACGCTGTCCACAGTGGCGCTCAAGGGCGGCGTGGTGTGCGGCATGTGGGCGCCCATGATCGGCCCCCGGGCTGCTGCTGCGGTGACGCTGCTGCAGAAGCTGAGGCGCGCGCCCACGGACGAGGAGAGCGAGAAGGCCAACGGTGAGAACGGGATGGGGTCGAGGGCGATGGTGGGATAGAGGAGGGGAAGGGGCATGTGGGCATGTGGGCGTCATACATCCTAGTCGACCATGCTTGAGCTGGACGAACCCAGAGCTGCCTTTCCTACTGGTGCAATCTGTGCCAGGGAGGTCCTCCCCTAATCCACTGTGCACCGTTCTCGCCTCCAACCGCCTCCTCTCCTCTCCCACCATCACCCCCCTCTCTATCTCTCCTCCCCCCTCCCCCCCCAACAGGCCTTGGCGGGGCATCAGTGTCGGAGCCAGCAAGCGCGGTGGGTGCGTACGAGCAGCTGCCACATCTTCGACTGCTCTCTCCTCTCCAAGCTCGGCTTTTGAGTCGACTCAAAAGCTCTGCTCCCCCCTCCTCCCCCCCTCCAGGCCTTGGTGGGGCATCAGTGTCGGAGGCAGCCGGCGCAGTGGGAGCATACGAGCAGCTGCTGGTCCTTCTCTTTGACTGCTCTCTCCTCTCCGAGCTCGGCGAGAACATGGACCGCGGCAGCCGTGAGACTGACGCGTTCATAGCGGCGCGCGACGCCACGTGCCGGGATGCCATCTCGGAGTTTAGGCGCTCGGCCCCAGCCAGCGACCGCGTGCACGCGTACATGCTGCTGCTGCGCGTTGTGGGCATTGCACTCGCGCTGAATGTGGACTATGTGCCGCTCGGGAGCATGTTCCCCCCGAGCCTGCTTGGCAGCTTCCCGATCCTGCGGCCAGAGGTATGGTGGAGGTTGGGGTACGGGAAAGAAATATATGAATGGCATTGGGATTTGATGTGATTATTTTCGTCCTTCCCCCTCCTTCCCCACCTGCCGTCCTCACCTGTCTTCCCCTTTCCCCAGCCGCCATCGGAGGAGGAGGCAACAGTGGGCAGCAAGCTCATGGAGGCGCGTCTGCAGTTCACTTCCTCCCATCTCCCTCCCTTCCTGCATCCCAAAACTCTCTCTCCCACTTACCCGCTTGCCCACCTCCCCTCTCCATCTCCCCTTACCACCTCCCCTCTCCATCTCCCCTTACCACCTCCCCTTTCCACCTCCCACACTCTCACCGCCTCTCCCCTTCTCCGCTTCCCTCTGCTTCCCCCTCTCTCTCCCCCTCTCACCCCAGCCACTATCGGAGGCGGATCCCACAGTGGACAGCACACACACAGAGGCGAGTCTGCAGTTCGCGTTGCGAAACCTCCCTGCATTCCTCGCCCTTTGCCCACCTACCCACCAACCCCCCCGGATTCTCTTCCCCCACCGGCCTGCCCCGTCTCCCAGCCGCTAACGGAGGCGGGCGGAGGCGACAATGGACAGCAAGCGCATGAAAGCACGCCTTCAGTACCCTTCCCTTCACCCATTCAGTTCACCCCTTCACTTTACCCCTTCAGCTCACCCCTTCCCGCCTCCCTTCATGCCCCTCCTCCCAGCCGCTATCGGAGGCGGAGGCGACAGTGGACAGCAAGCGCATGGAGGCGCGGCTGCAGTTCCTGCTCGCCATGATCCTCGCCCAGCACCGCCAGGCCGCCGCTGCCACTGCGGCCGCTGCTGCCGCTGCCAGTACGCCCCGCCACGCCCTCCTCACTCCTGCTGAATCCACTGCTGCAGCTGCTGCTGGTGCCGCTGGTGCTGCTCCTGGTGCTCCTGCTGCTACTGCTGGTGGTGATGGTGTTGGTGCTGGCGCTGCGGGTGGTGCTGTGCCGATGGCTCTTTCTGCTCTGGGTCATGAGCCGGGCTCTTCAGGCATGGGCATGGGCATGGGGCCAGGCATGGGTGAAGCAATGGCCATGGGGGGAATGGGCATGGGTGGCATGGGCATGGGGCCTGGAATGGGGATGGGTGGCATGGGTCAAGGTATGGACATGATGGGTATGGGTGCTGGTATGGCCATGCACCAAGGTATGTACATGGGTCAAGGTATGCATATGGGCCCGGGCATGCACATGGGAATGGGTCCGGGTATGCACATGGGCATGGGTGCTGGTATGCCCATGGGTGCAGACATGACTATGGGGATGAATCCGGCCATGGCCATGCATATGGGTGCTGGTATGCATATGGGCATGGCCGGAATGCCTCCTGGGATGGGCTATCCTGTGGGAGGCATGGGTGACATGGGCATGAATATGCACATGGGCATGGGTAACATGGGGATGGGGCATATGGGCATGGGGGCAATGGGTAGCCTGGGGGGCATGGGGGGCATGGGGAGCATGGGGAGCATGACTGGTATGGATGGTGGCGGGATGTCCCCTGCAGCACCAGCTCCCCCTGCGCCTGCTCCTCCCAAGGCGCATGTGCATCGGCTGCGTGTGTACGAGGCGCGGTACCGGGCGGCGTCCGCCTTTGCCCTGGCCAACGACCTGGGCGTGCCGCATGACGAGCTGCGCCGCCGCCAGGTGGCACTCAAGTACCTCAAGCAATAGCACCATGCTCATGCATATGCACATGCACATGCCCATGCACATGCAGCGGTGGTTGTGACGGGACTGGTGCTTTGGTCTCCAGACTCCTGCTGCTGCTGCTGCTGCTGCTGCTGCTGCTGCTGCTGCTGCTGCTGTGGTGCTCTATGCGTGCGTGTGCATCTACGAAACTCATGATACCTATGCCTCGGTTTTGGTGGGCGATTGCCTTGGACATAACGACACACAGCATGGTTTTAGGAATGCATGCATGCTTCTACTACCTATGGAAGCGTTAGTGCAGTACACAGGAGTGTGAAAAAACTGCAAATTTTAGCGCAGTGGGTGTAATCTTGACCTTCCCAAATGAGTATTTATCGAATACACTCTTTGTGGGTGTAAGCTTGATGTTGGATGATGCAACAAACGTACAGAGCAAAACCAGGGATAAGGAAAAGTATTTACTTCACACCCACACAAAAAAGGTACCTAAGCCACTGAGCCTTCGGATTACTACCCTGAATGATATCGAAACATGTACCATTATCCCCCGGATAAAGGTATCGAAGTTTAATGAGGGAATATAACCTAGTGGGTTGTACACTCGAAGGCACAACCCTGTGTAGTCTATAACAACATACAAGGATATGTTTGACACACCCCCTAGACCGGATTCGGGCAGTGCCTGGTGAGAGACAAGCAGCTCAGGGTGGCACTACTAGTCTAACCTCTCAGGCAAGGGTCTAAAGACCAGTCAAACGAGTACAAACAAGGCAAGAGCAAGACCAGGGCGGCACTACTAGTCCAGTCACTGGGAAGAGGCCACAAGGCCAGTCAGGGTAATATATATATAGGCCTGTACACAATCAAGGTCCTAGCAAATGAGAGGCTACAGGAATGAGACCTAGCTATACACAGTGGGCAACAGACGAGGAGCGAGTGGACCTCCACGAGATGGCACCCGAACCAAGGCTAAAGCAGTAGCCCTAAGAGGACCTGAGATTCTCGGCGTCGTTTGCCCAAGAAGCGTCAGTGTGCCCGGTAAGGACCACTGGTTTGCGTCCTCCTATCACTAGCCCCATGCCCGACGTACTTGCTAGATGGCGCAAAACCCTCTCAGCTGCCGACCAGTGCTGTGGTCGGTGTCTGCCGGTGGCCACAAAGCGAGCCAGGATGCTGAGAGAGTATGCGAGATCTGGACGAGTGCAAGTCATCAGGTACATAAGGCAACCCACTAGCTCTGCGTAGGGACCAATAGGCTCTACAGCCTCCTACGAGACTGGAGCAGAGAGTCTGTGATCTACTGGCAAAGCGGTGGGCTGTGCGGAAGAGAACTGAAGGCCGAACCTCTGAAGGACCTGGCGCACCAAGTGTGACTGTGAGAGAGTGATGGTGTGTGCTACTCTGTTCATGGAGATCTGCAAGCCAAGATAGCGACGCAGCTCTCCTAGGTCAGTGCAGGTGTGTCTCTTCAGCAGCTCGGCCTTCACGGAGGCCAGCGCGTCTCTGTCTGCAGTAGCAAAGGCCAGATCGTTTACATAGACAAGGATGTAGAACAGAGTCTGGCCGAAACGGACGAAGAGTGAGGGGTCAGCAGACGACGAGAAGAACTGCAGGTTAGCAAGTGTAACACGCAGCGTGTCGTGCCACTCACGGGGCGCCTGACGCAAGCTGTAGACGGGGCGCCGGAGGAGCCACTCGGTACTAGGGGGAAAGGTATCGGAGAAGCCTTGTGGGCGGCGCATGTACACCTGCTCGTGTAGACTGCCCTGGAGGAAAGCTGCGGAGAAGTCGAGGGAGTGCAGCTCGTAGTCACGCTGTGCTGCTACGTGTAGCAGTGCCCGAAGAGTACTCATCTTCGGGGTCGGGGCGAAGGTCTGAAAAAGATCCCCTCGCTCACGCTAACTGAAACCTCGAGCAAGGTAGGGCACCTTGAAGACTTGCGACTCTCCAGGAGGACGCTTCACCTTGAAGAGCCATCGGCCATCGACTACGTTCACCCCAGGTGGGGGAACAGCGTCGACTAAGGTACCACTGGATCTCCAAAATGCCATCTCCTGCTCCATGGCAGCTATCCACTGAGAGGCCCAGGGTCACGAGGTGGCCTCAGCGTAGGTGCAAGGGGTCGGGATGCCAAGAGCGTCTGGGTTACCCTCAGGGACTAGCAGCATGGAGCAGAGATGGGGAGCGGCCTCAGAAAGGAAAGCGAGCTCGTACTGCCTGTCCTCGAGGACATCACTATCACGGGCAGGCACACCCCCGACGAACGGAGGGCAGGCAAGGTCAGAGACCAGAGCGGTGGCGTAGTCAAGGCGACGAGTAGCGGCGAAGTCAGTGACAGACTCGAGACATGAACGGACGGGTTCGTAACAAGAGAGGCAAGGACAAGAGGAATAAGGGGACGCGCATTACGGAGGAAGTCAGATAACGGGGGCGGGGCCACAACAAGCGACGACGGAGAAGGAGACGGGAAGAGCGAAGGAGCACAAGACGCGTGGGAGCGAAGCAATATAGGGTGGGACCGCTGAACAGGGGAGGTAGGACGAGCACGAGATGGAGAGGAGTCAGGGGGAGGAAACAGTGGGCCGTAGACCGACAGAGGAGGAGGTGGCGGCGACGGAGGAGGCACCGGTAGGCGGTATGGGAAAGGAAGACCGAGGAGGTGAAGAGCGGAAATCGGCGGCGTTTGCTGCGGCTGCTGCCAACACAAGAACCTCCAGCGACAGCACGGCTCCCTCCAAGAAGCTCCACGCTAAAACCCCCAGAATGGGAACCCGCTCCAGTACCCGCACCAGCACTATCCCCAGCACCCCCAGAATGCACGAACCCCAGCGGCGGTGGCGACGGCGGCTGCGGCCGCGGCGGCGACGGCAGCGGCGGAGGCAACTACGGCGATGACAGCAACGGCAACGACGGGGGAGGAGAGACCGGGGCAGGGGGAGGGACTCCGCAGAGCCACGAGAGTCAGCAGACTCCTCGGCAGGGACACCCGACAGGACAGGGATGACGTGAGACACACCAGACGGGGCAGGGAGGGGAGGGGGGGGAGCCGGGGGGACTGGGGGAGGGGGAACCAAGAATACGGGGGGGTAACCAGGAGACCACGGTAGGGAAAGCTGTGGTAAAAGGAGATGGACTCGTCAAAGGTGACGTCGCAGGAGTGAAAAAAGTCGTGAAACGACGGGTGGTAAAAATGCCAGTCAGACGAGTCGAGGGGGAAACCTAGGAAGACATTGGGGACGATGCAGGCAGTGAGCTTATCCGTGCCAGAGGCATGAACGTGAGCAAGGCAGCCCCAGACGTGGAACGCAGACGCGTCACCAGGGGACCCGGTCTAGAGGAGGGTCGGCGAAACCTGCGACCGTTGAGGGTGCGGCCACAGGTTAAGCTGGTGAGCGGCGTAGCGAACGACGAACGGCCACAGAAAATGGGGTGCACCGGCATGGATCATGGAGGTACGAGCCACCTCCATAACCAAATCGATGCGTTGCTCAGCGACCCCATTCTGCTGCGAGGAGTCCGGCACGGTGAACGCTTGGGTGATGCCCTCCGAACGTCAGAAGCGACCAAGGCAGCCAGAGGCGAACTCGCCACCACAATCGGAGTGAAGGCGCAACACAGGGAGACCTCGGTGAACATGCGCAGAGACAAGCCACGGGAGAAGAACGTCAGGCATGTCGGCCTTCCGCTCCAGGAGAAACACTGTGGTGTAGCGCGTGAAGTCGTCGACAAGCACTAGGAAGTAGCGCTCTCGACGCGGCCCATGGACGCGGGCGGGGCCCCAGATGTCCATGTGCAGGGTCTGCAGCGGTGCGGCAGTGGGGGGGAACGGGGAGGGGTGAGGGGCACGGCGGAGCCAGCCCTCAACGAAGGGCGTGCACGGCGGCGCTGGTGAGGAGGGTAGCGCGGGGAACTACTCAGGGAGACCTAATACAAGACCGTGCTGAGACATGTGACGATGACGTGTGAGGGCAGCGTGACCTAGACGGTGGTGCCACAGAAGCGTCGGGTGAGTAAGGGACCGACACGAGCAAGCCGCAGCAACCTGGGTAGACGGAGACACCTGGGGAGACGTCCCAACCGGGGGGGAAGCGCTGTCCAGCATGAACAAGCCAGACGCCTGGTCCCGAGGGAACGTGGTGAGGGGAGCACCAGTGGCGGCCTCGGTACAGACAGCGTACCGCTCGTGACCAGCGAACGTAGTGGTGACGCCAAGGTCGTGGAGACAGCTGACACCAACTAGATTCCTAGAGAACGAGGGGATGTGCAGGCCTGTAAGGGAGCCCGAAGGAACCGCCGGACAGGGAAGGGTGGTGGAGCTACGGGCAACTACAAGACCTGAGGAAGGGTCTGCAAGGGCAACTGCGGCGGGAGCGGCAAGCGGCGTAAGCGTAGTGGAGTCCTGAAAGAAACACTGGAAAGCACCGGAGTCCAGGGTGAAGGAGAGCGCAGCAGTGGCAGCAGGGGTCAGAGGAGCGAGGGTGGAGCCAGGGCTAAACAAAGCAGGGGATCCTATGCCTGACGCAACAGGGAAGCCTGAACTAGGCACACCTACACTAGGCAGCAAGGGGTAATAGGAACCAGTCACACTAGAGTCATCGACATAGAGCACATACAAACTAGAGCTAACCTCGTGCATGTCCATATCAAAGATCCTAACACTACGGCGGAGCAGACTGTGCCAGTCGGGGAGGTCTGGCGCCGGGCCAAAGCGGAGACGAAACATGTTGTCTAGGTGATTGAAACAACGAGTGGGGGTATGGCCGATCTTACTGCACACGAGGCCCCGACGAGGACTGTTCAGGAGTTAGTACTGGCAGCACGTGTCATTCGGACCACCACGCGACGTTTCGCTGCGCGCACGACCACTGCGACCACCTCCACCACCGGCGCCAAGCCACACGGGTGGGAGACGGCCGACCCGCTGCTGATGCTGTTGCGGCTGCTGTTGTTGCTGCTGCGGCGCCTTCTGCTGCTGCAGCTAGGGCTGCTGCTCCAAGGTACCAGCCCCAGCCCCCTCGTCAGTACTACCAGCGGGCGAACCACCTCCACCACTGCCTCCACCCCCTCCTCCGCTACCTCCGCCGTGCCCAACCTTGGGGCGGCGACCCTTACCCGGACGAAACTGCATTGCGGCAGCCGCGACGACTGCCTCCGCAGCAGGGGTTGTCTCTGCGATAGCATTAGAATCGTCAGAGTAAGTGCACTGAGCAGGGGCACAGCCCTGAAAGATAGTGACCGGCACAGTACCGCTAGAGTAAACGATAGAGCGCTGACGAGTCTCTATGGCAGACTGGGTGTCGACAAAGTCAGTGAGGGTGAGGTCAGCGGGGTGGAGACTAAGAAAGTGATCGCGGGCGGTAGCAAGGCGGTCAGGGAGGCGGGTGGCAAGCAGGTAGAGGGTAGAGCAGATGGGGGGCTGAAACATACAAAGCTGGGCCTCAATGCAGGCAGCGCGACAGGTCGTGCCTAGTGTGCGCAAGTGGGCGTCCAGGTCAGCGATAGTGGAGAAAGACGCGAGATCATGAAAGCGCATGGGCAAGATCAGGCGACCGATAGAGGCAGAGGGCGGGGTGGAATAGCGCGCGACAACAGCCTCTAGGAACTCCTTCGTAGTCCTGACCGACCTAAAGCGGGGGCGCTCAGACAGGGGGAGGGCATGACTAATCACTAGCTGTGCGACATCGTCACGCGACAACCAGACAGCACGGGCAAGGGCAACAACGGTAGCGGACTCAGGGTCAGCAGACGTGGGGTCAGCGGGTAGAGCAGCAGGGGGGTCAGGGCATGGGAGCGTATCGTCGATGTGGATGGCCAGGGAGTGGCCGTCCTGCCGCTGACCAGTGAGGTGACGGCGGAGGTCGACGAGCCACGTGTCAAACTCAACCGGTTGACCCTCCGCGTCAAAGCGCAGCACCGAGTCCGCCATCATGGTCGCTGCAGCAGCAGACAGGCGGTAGTGGGCTGTTCTGAGCGTCAGAGTGCGGCGAGAAGCAGTGGTGTGCGGTGCGGTGCGGTGCAGTGCGGTAGACTGCGGTAGAGTGCGGTGCAGTACGGTAGGGTGCGGCTCAGGGCGGTGCAGTGCGGTGTAGGGCGATGGAGTGCGGTGCAGTGCGGTGGAAAGGGCTGATGAAGCGAGATGGGAGCTGCAGGGGCAGCTGAGGGACGGGGCCGCGAGGAGGCTAGGCGGCGAGGCCGCAGGCCGGCTGGTCAATAGGGGCCGCGTGGCGGCTGGTCAATAGGGGCCGCGTGGCGGCTAGGAGACGGGGCCGCGGGCGGCAAAGTGACGGGGCCGGCTAGGCTGCTTGGTGACGGGGCCGGCTAGGCGATGGGGCCGGCTAGGCTACGGGGGCTAGCTAAGTGACGGGGCCAGCTAGGCGACGGGGCTGGCTAGGCGATGGGGCCGGCTGGGCGACGGGGCCGGATAGGCGACGGGGGCGGATAGGCAACGGGGCCGGTTAAGCGACGGGGCCAGCTAGGCAACGGGGCCGGCTGGGCGACTGGGCCGACTAGGCAACAGGGCCGTTTGGGCAACGGGGCCGGCTAGGCGACGGGGCAGGCCAGGCGACGGGACCGGCTAGGCGACAGGGCCGGCTGGGCAACGGGGCCGACTAGGCGACGGGGCCGGCTAGGCGACTTGGCCGGCTAGGCAACGGGGCCGACTAGGCAACGGGGCCAGCTATGCGCTAGGCGGCGGGGGCCACTAGGGGACGGGCCAGCACGGGCGGGAGGGTGACGGGGCAGCTAGGACCTATGGCGGAAGCGCTGGTGGGCGGGGGGGACCTAACCTACTCATGATACCATATCAAAGTTTAATGAGTCAATAGAACAATGGCTTACAAGGGAATATAACCTTGTGGGTTGTACTCTCTAAGGCACAACCCTGTGTAGTCTATGATAACATACAAGGATATGTTTGACAATAAGCACATAGGGGCTTATATGAAATACCTAACAAAAGTGCCATGCGCTTGTAATCGAATAAAATTTATAAGCCCAGGGCTTATGAAAGGATTTTTATAGAAAAAATATTGAAGCACGTAAAAATGTAGTTCTTGATATCTGTGTCCTAGCGCGTGTCTTTCCAAAGGGCAGCATGTTGACAAAACGCGAGAAGTTGGCTGACAAAGCTGCCGCCACCAGATCCACCCGGGAATGACTTCATATCGCGCTTATGGTTTGGGAGGCAGTCAATAAAAACTGCAGAAACTCCGATATATAAATCCCCCGTTTTTACAAAAATATAATGTGCCTGTAAGAAATACATTTTCAAAAATATGGGTGCGCATATAGTGAAGTAATGAATATAAGCGCACTTGCACTCCATAAGCGCAATGGGCCAAATAAAGGGATGCACCTATATCCGGGGGATAACGATAGTCTAGTCAGTTCAGGCTTATTCCAACCCCTCATCATGCGAGCTAGCTACCCTATCGCAACAGGTGCTACCTCTTCGGCTACAGGAGACGCCTCCAAAAAGTTAAGGCTCTTCCCAAACGCTCGCCCCGTGAGCTACCGCAGCAGATGCCTCCACCAGAGGGCGGACCTCTTGGGCAGCCTGTCAGCCCCATGCGCAAAGTCCACGTAGTGCGTGCCAAAGCGCCGCGAGTACCCCATGGCCCACTCGAAGTTGTCCAGCAGGGACCATGCGAAATAGCCCCGCACATCCGCACCATCCCTGGGGGGGAGGGTGGGGGGGGGTGGTGGGGGAGGGGGTTGGATTATGAGGCAGAGTGGAGTGGAGTGGAGGGGGGGCGAGTGGGAGGGATGGATGGGGAAAGGGAAGGGGAGGTGTGTGGGTGATTACAGTACGATTAGGCGGTCAGGTGCGGTGTACCTGATGGCATCAGCAACTGCAGCAAGGTAGTCGTTGTAGTAGTTGACCCGCTTCCAGTCGTCCAGAGCAGCGGGCAGGGCCACAGAGCCAAAGGGCTGCTGCTGCTCACCCAACTGAACCCGCTCCCCTTGCGCACCCAGCACGTGCGGTTGAGGAGAAAGTGTACCCAGATCCAACGGTGGTAGTGCATCTGCGTCGTCATCCATTCCTGAGCGTGCATCGCGTGTGGGATAATGATGGGGGGTGTAGGGGCAGCGAAAGGGAGGGACAGGGCGCGGGGGGGGGGCTATTCTGGATGCCCAAGGAAATACGCAGGTGAGAGGAGAGGGGTTAAATTGAGAGGGATGTAACGTGACAGTGCATGGGAGGATGGATTGCATTGAAGGAAGAAAACGGCCCATCACAGAAGGGTAAGAAGCAAGTGAAAGGAGGCGAGATCTATGGCACACCGTTTTCGGTGATTAGGATGGGAGGGCGGTTGTAGCGCGCGGAGATCCAGTTGAGCAGCTTTGTGAAGCCCCAGGGCACAATATAGAGCCACTCCGAGGCTGCCTGGGAGGGCAGATGGGAGGAGAGGGATAATAAGGTGAGCAGTTGGGGTGAGTTGCACTGGAATGGAACGATGTGGGACAACAATGTGGGACAACTATGTATCCCTTGACTTTCGAGTCCATTCAAGGGATGAGGTGAGTCCATGGAGGGCAACAGCTTCCATGCAAGGTGAGATAAGGTGCGCTGGAAAGATCAGGGATGAGAGGTGGGGAGTGGGAGAGAGGTGGAGAGAAGTGACTGGTAACAGTGAAGTGAAGAAAGGATGGGCAGGGAAGGGAGTGTGAAGGGTACGGAAATCATAAAGGCATGTGTGAGTATTGCATGTGTGTGGAATATGGGCTGAACGTTCTTACCCGCTCTCCGATCGGGATGCCGTTTCGTGATGCTGCAAACGGAGAGGTGGCAAAGAGCGGCGCGTGGAGTGTGGAAGAAGAGATGAGTGGATGAGGGAAGAGCAAAGAGGAACAACGGAGGAATGGGACACGCAAACAGCAACTAACTGAACGCTGGCAGGTCAGGGTAACAGGTGCAGCGGGTGCAGGGAGTCCTAGTCCTAGTGAGAATGCCCCGCTCACTCACTCACTCACTTGCTATCTCAACAGCCTGGTCCTTGAAATGGTCACTTTCCTCCTCACCGCACGCCCCTGCACCCACACTCCCTTCGATTTCCCTCGCCTGCGCGCTTGAAGCAAGTGCGGGGGACTCGTGCGGTAGCAGAGGCACCACGCCTGCAGCAACAGCTGCTGCTGAATCTGCCACTGGTGGCTCTAAAGGCTCTCCTGACTCTGCCGCGTTGGCAACACCAGCACCACCATCAGCAGCACCACCACCAGCACTGGCAGCAGCAGCAGCAGCAGCAGCAGCAGCGCAGGAGACGAACTTGGAGGTGTAGTGGTTGACTCCCACGAAGTCCAGCGACCCCCTCAGCTGCTGCTGCTGCTCTGCGGTGAATGACGGCAGGCGCGCCCCCACCCGCTGCCTCATGAGCGCTGGGTAGAGACCTGAGAACAGAGGGTCCAGCACCCTTGTGGGTGTAGAAAGAAAGGGATGGGGGATGAGGGATGGGGGATAGGGGAGAGCACAAGGGAGCATGCTTCTGCAACAGTTATTGGGCAGCAAGTGCCCAGGGATGTGACGGGAAACGCTGCTGCTGTGAGATTTAACGCAGGAGCGGCCAGACAACTGCTGCAGCTGCACCAGTCAAGGCAGCGTCAGCTAAGGCCGCGCCAGCCAAGGCGACGCGTGCAAAGCCTGCTGCTGGGAAGAATGGTGCTGCAGCAGCTAATGCGACGCCAGCTAAGGCGACGCCAGCTGAGGCGACGCCAGCTGAGGCGACGCCAGCTGAGGCGACGCCAGCTAAGCCTGCAAAGACTGCTGCTGGGAAGGATGGTGCTGCAAAGGCTGCAGCCGGTGCTGCGTGCTATACGCTGGGTGCTGTGTGGAACGAGACTTACCGAATTGCGCCGCCCCACACCGCATTGCAACGCACCATGCGAGCTGGAAGACCATTCGCCTCTCAGCTGCTTCCACGTCAGGAGGCGACGAGGTGAGGGGCTCCGCCCACTCCCCATCCACTGCCAGCCCTATGCTCATATCACTGCAGGACTGGGAGGAGATGGGGTGATGCATGAGACGAGGTGAGGGGCTCCGCCCACTCCCCATCCACTGCCAGCCCTATGCTCATGTCGCTGCGGGACTGGAAGGATATGGGGTGATTGATTGCATGTGATTTGGAGGCTTCAGGGAGACGTCTCACAACTAGTCGTGACATGAAGACACGTCACAACGCAATATGGCACAGAACGAGTTCAGTCGACAGAGGGCGCATGGCCAGAAACATCCCCAAGAGGCGAACTCAGGGGTTGGGGAGAAGGGCCTTCAACCATCTCTCCCCATCCCCTCTCCCCATCCTCTCTCCCCATCCCCGTCTCCCGGAACCCCCCTCAGCTAACCCTGATACGCAGCCAGAAGGCGTCCACGGCCGCGGCATGCGCGAACAGCAGGTGGTGCACGAAGAGCTTTGAGGAGCCTCAAAATGCTTGAGGAGAAATAAGTCTAGTCTTGAGGCGCCCATTAGCCAGGCCTCAAACAACCTCCCCCCTCCCTGTCAGCTCACCCCAAATCTTAGCCGAAAGGCATCAACAGCCGCAGCATGTGCGAGCAGCAGGTGGTGCATGACGAGGTACGGCTCTCTGCAGGAGTCGCCCCCCCCAGGGGAGATGAGGCGGTTGGACGAGCGCCCGGGCGCATGGATGCCCCACTGGTACCCGCACAGGGTGAAGCAGAGCGGCTCGTTCAGAGTGATCCAGTGCGGTGCAGAACGGCCGAAGAGTGCGAAGCAGGTGTCTGCGTAGGTGCGGAAGCAAGGCCTGGAAGGAGGTTTGGGATGGAGAGATGGAGGGAGGGCGGGATAGTGGGAGGACAGGAGGGTGGGCGGCGAGGAATGGCAATGGGTAGCAAGCGAGAGAGGGGGTGAAGGGGACGAGAGGTGGTGTGTGTGAGGAGGGAAAGGAGAAGGGGCAGGGGATGGTCGAGAGCTAGAGGATGATACATCCCATCCCAAACTGTGCTCACACTATGTCCAGCCCTCACACTCGCTCCCCGCAAACAACTTCAACCCACCACTCCCCTCCGCGCTACCCAACAAGCCCCTCCTCAACCCTGCTCCGCACAAACCCCCACAATCTCTTCCTCCCCCCCCCACTCCTCCCACCCCCTGGCCCTCCCTGCACTCCTAGCACGTGGCACAGCATTACATTTCCTCCCACTCCCGGCCCTCACACTAATACCAGCCCTCACGCTCACACTACTTCCGGGCTCCTCCAGCCGCCGAACTCCTTCTCAAGGGCGAGAGGGAGGTCCCAGTGGTAGAGAGTGACGTAGGGCGTGATGCCTGGGGGGGGAAGGGCACCGCGAGGCGGGGCAGGGCAGGGCAGGGCAGGGCAGGGGGAAGTACATTGCAGCGTTACATACCAAGTGGAGCGAAGGAGCACATTGCACTTCCATGCATACATTGATGGAAGGGGCATGGGACGGCAGAGCACAATGGGGGATCTGTTGGAGAGCATCATACTGCTGAAAGCATGCACACAGAGCGGCGGGCGCCCAGGTGCGAGAGGAGAGAGACGGACGAAGCAGGTGGATAGAGGTGAGCGGGTCACAAGCACGAGCAGCGGGCCACACACACAGTAAAGCCAGACGATGGGCAAGCATGAGCGGCGGCCGATATCGGCCCCACCCAAGGACGCTGTGCATGCATCCATGCAGACAAGCCATGTGCCTCTCCCCATCATGTGCTCCCTCCAGCCACGTGCTTCTGCAAGCATGCACCATCGCCACAAGATGCCATCGCCGGCCATGTGCCATCGCCAGCTATGTGCCATCCCCAGCACATCCCTCCCCACAGCATGCAAGGAATGGTCCCAGAGCCCACCATTGTCCAGCAGCGCTTGGATGAGCGCACAGTAGTAGGCCACTCCCTCGGGGTTCACAGGGGGGCGACCGGCTGTGGTGGGAACGGAGGCAGCGAGGGGGGAGGAGCGGGATGGAGAAGAGGGAAGGGCACGCAAGCGACAGAACGGGAGAGAGAGAAGAAGAGGGGTTGAGGAAAGGGGTTGAGGAGAAGTACGAGAACGTCTGGCGACCTTGAACCTAATCTTCTCACCCACAGGTGTACATGGCATGATGGTTTACACACATGGGTGGTCTACATGCTTGGCATGATGCTTCCCACGCATGCCATGCGGCTAACATACTTGGCATGATGCGGGGCCATGAGATGGAGAAGCGGTACGCCTTCACGCCCATGCTGACCATCAGGGCGATGTCCTCCTGTTATACCACTCCCCATGCCATGCCATGCCGTGCCGTGCCATGCCATGCCATGACATGCCATGCCATGCCATGCCATGCCGTGCCATGCCACGCCATGCCATGCAAGAGCACATGCAAGATTTCAGCAAGAGCCATGCATGCAAGGAAGGCAGCATGGGTACTTGATTAAGGCGTGTGAGCATCCGTGGTATCACGTGGTGTAGCTCTTGTCGCATTGGGAGGAGGGGCGAGGGGGGTGGGAGGAGGAAGGGCCTTCCTTACCTGGTAGCGGTGGTACTGGTCACAAGCCACATCGCCCGTGTCACCATTCCGTGTCTTGCCTGCACCAACCGCAATGGTTCCACCCATGCATCCATCCATGCATCCATCCATGCATGCATGCATGAGTGTAAGTTACATGGAGAGGAGCAGTACTAACTGAGTGCTTCGTCATGTAGATACCAGGCGAATTCACTGGGTAAACACGACCCACCTAGTATCCACGCGTCACCAGTGGCAGCCCATTCACCTGGAGTGTGCGAAAATTCGTCCCATATGCTCGGCCCTCGGCCTCCCTCCGTTGCTGCTCCCTCCACCTAACCCGTATTGTGCGAGCAAGGGAATTCGAGACATGAGATGAAAAACGACTCTCGAAGCTCATAAATGCGCAGATCGCGAGGGACGGAGACACAGCCAATCATAGGAAGCGCAGTCATAGACTAAGACGTCCGCGTATCACTAAGTCCACGAAACTCCCCATCTCACGCATCCTAAGGCGCTTTCACGTGCCTGGTAAGCAGCCGTCGCGGTTCCGAACACGAAATGAGGAGGGAACATGCTCCGCGAAACCCGGCGCTTTTCACGCTGGCTTTGCTCAGGAGCTAGCATCGGTTCCATGGCTCTACGGCGCAGCCTCGATGCGTCACGCTCAAAGATTCGCTTCCTTTCACGCCTTGCGCGGGGGACTGTGATTGGGAAACTCGAATTCACCTTCGGTTTCTGAGAGTAACTGCTCGAATGCTCCTCATGGATCTGCCATTGCCTCCTCGAAATATCACTTCTCTGGTCTCAACTCCTATCAAACCTCAAACGGTCTGACGATTCCCAAAACGAAAGCGGTCAACCGATAGCAGCTGCTAGCTTCGAGACGCTAGGTGATTGGAGAGAACAGCCGACGCCCAGCTGCCCGAGCAGCGCGCAACGGCAATTCGATGGGAACAACAGAATTGTGTGATGGGCAAGGGGGCAGCCAGGAGTTCTCTCACTGGGGGAGAGGGAGGGAGGGGGGTGGTGGGGGGGGCGCTCTACTCACCATCTCGCATTTCCACATTCGAGTTCAACAGAGGGAAATTCCCTATGCCGTGTCAATATTCCCGTCAGGGAGTTTGACACGAGGTTCTCTTGGGTTCCAGATTTTGAAAATTCGGCCCCAGTACGGACTTCCAGATTTTTAGCCCGACCTGAACCTTGGTAAATGGTTCGCCCTGGTTGGGTGGACTCGTTTGAAGGATCTGACACGAAACTTGACACGGCGCAGGCAGCTCCCTGAGTGTTCAATCGCTAAGCATGATCAAGTTCTGCGTATGGTTCGGCTGGTCCGTAAGTGCGGAACCATTTTGCCTTGGCTTCTGTTGATGTCGCGCCGATATTTCGGTTCGACCTGCGCGCAAAACCGAATGTTGAAATTTGAGAGATCTTGGTTCAGGGGACCATCCAATGCGCAAATGGATCATTATGCGAACGGCTGTGGCTCAATCTGGACGTCTGGATGATGTGTATTTGCCTACATTACATGCAAAAAATGTGAAAATTGGCGTGAGTCCCAAATTGCGTGTCGCTTGGTTCAAGCTTTAGAAAGGTGAAATCTGTTAGGCCGACTGGCCTAAATCCGCTAGAGAATAGAGAAGTTGGTTAAATCTAGGAAAAAGCGCGGTGGAAGACTTTGGCAAAGAAGTTTGTGAAGTATTCGAAGAAGAAAACGGGTAATGATTGATTGATATTGGCGAATACAAGCAAGGTTTATCTAGCCTGCAAGAACGGTTGTGGGAAAATGGTTTGTGGGACAGGATGGAATTACGTGGCGAAACTAGAGAGCCACGTGGCAGTTGGAAATCCGAGTTGGATTGTCATGAGATCAGGTTGGGATGGGATGAACATGACTGTCAGGGTAAATACTATGTGAACAGTAAACTACCCCGTAAGTGCCTACATTACATGCAAAAAATGTGCCTACCAGGGCTGACGTTTCAAAAAAAGGCACTCTGAGCTGACCTTGTTAAAATTATATAAGTTATAATTTAATATAGGCTTGGTAGGTTGTTACTGAACCTTTCTGTAGAGGGTACAAACCCCTTCTTGTACTCCTCTCTCTTCCTAATCAATTTCCCTTTCTTCTCGACATTCTCTCCCTTCCTAGATCCGTTTTCCTCACGCCATTCCATGGCGGCCTTCTTGCTAGTATCCTAGCCAACATAGCCTCCTAAGTTTAAGAACCTTGAGTCCTAAGTTTCTAAGAGACCCCCCCAAAAAAAAAAATAGTCTGAATGGCCTTCAGCCAGAATTTAGGGACTCTGAAATGTCAGAGTCCAGAGATGTGCAACTCTGAAATTCTCAGGATCGCGCAAGTGTACTCAGGGTTACATTTTATGTTATTAAGAAAAGCTATTCTTGTCTGTTACATTTTGCTACATTGGACAGGAGCCTATCTACAACTACTACTACCAAACCAAGCAATCACCACTAGCTAACAGGCACCTAGAACTCCGGCACATCTACAGTAATCTCATCATCACCCCCCTCATCGTCGGACAGGAAAGGGTCGTCGCCTAATGTTGGAGCCGCATCATTCTCATCATCACCCCCATCCTCCACAGCCCACCCCTCCCCCGCGTACTCTGGCACCTCCCCCTGTCCATCCGTTGTGTCCCCCGCCACCTCACCCTCTAGGGCCTTCCCCTTGCGTTTTCGTTCCGCTCTTGCGAAGACAACAGATCGTGCTGGCCGTCTCAGCTTCTCTCGCCAGGTCGCTAGGGCTTCGGTCCAATTGATGTCATACTGCAGCAGCGAGATGGCCATCAACTCGGAGAGGCGCGCGTTGCAGAGTGAGCCACGGACCCAGGACTTAATCACATTCTGCCGAGAGAAGCCCCTCTCACATTCGACGGTTGACAAAGGCAGCACGGCGCAGGCCTGCCAGAGGCGCATCAGATTGGGCCAGCGCCTGACACGGGGCACAAAAACAGAGGCGGAAGAAAGGCAGTAGGAAATGCATACAGTGAAGGCGGATAACAAAAAGATGCGGTTGGCAAGGGCGGCGATGTTGTGCACACTTGGCATGTAGAATGGAAGGTGGTGATTCAGAAACGACAATATGGTTGGACTTGCCTGCTCGAGTCCGTCTTCGTGAGGTAGTTTGCCAGGCCTTGGTGGAAACTCTCCACCTCGTGATGATTCTGCATGATCGGCGCCCAAGTTGCGAGCTCCCTCTCCGCTGCCTTCATGTCGAAGCCTGGCAGCTTGTGCTCGAAGATGCCGCTGCATCCAAGCAGATACTCTCTCGTCTTCTTCTCGCGCTGCGCCCGTTGTCTCGGCCACTTCGCCGCCACCCAGAGCTTCGTCGGCGACATCTTGCGCAGATCCAGCATCCGCTCTTGTACGTTGGTCATGGTATCCTTGGCGTGCTTCTGGCACAGCTGCACGCAGTCCTTGTAGCTGCTCCCGTACTGGTGCTTGTCGAGGTGCCGCTCGTGCATCTTGTACGTATGGGTGACGGGGTTCCCCTCCAAGTCGATACCGCGCACCTTCACCCGCTTCGTTCCGCCGCGCCCGTACACCGCGAGGAACGCCGAGAGCCAGGTGTTTTTGGCGCCGACACCGAAAATCTCCCCGAAGTCGACATAGCAGTGCCGCAGATCCCCCAGTGTCGCGTCGATGTCCGTTGCCACCTCTGTGACATCGACCTGCGGTGTGAGGGGGGGGGGGACACAGAGAAGTGAAAGACATGAGTACTTGCACCAGAGGAGAACACCATGCTTGCAAACATGAGCATCTTACCTCTCGCTTCTGAAACTTGAGGTTGAGGTCGTTCATGAGTGCCAGCATGTCGGCCAGGTAGAAGAGGCAAAACTGAAACTTATACGAAATCACAACCTCATACAGGGGATGCTCATACTCATACAGCAGAACAATCGCAGCACCCAACACTTTACACAGGCGTCGGATTGCCTCTCCCCTGGACAACCATCGAACTTGATGGATGCCTTGAACCTCAAGGTTGGTGCTGTGAATCGCCCGCTGCAGATGCTTGAAACGACTGCTCCATACGCTCGACCGGCCGAGAAGGTCCGCAAGGGTGCGAGTGACTTTGTCGACCATGTCGAGGTCTGGACATGAAGCGGCAGCATCCTTCACAGCAAGTGCTTCTCTGCATGTACCGACATGGGTAGTGGTTAGCACACAGAAACATAAGAAGCATAAACAGACAACAAGGAATACTTTAACAAACCTGTGGGCGATGCAGTGGGAGGAAAAAAGGTGCGGGATGATGTCTCGCAGTCGCGCCACAAGCCCGTTGTCTCGGCCGACCATCACCGACGCGCCGTCTGTGCTGATGCCAACGATGCGTTGGAGGTCGATGCCGGACGACTCCAGGTGGGCTAAGAGAGTGGCCATAAGAGAAGCGGCGTCGCACTTGTCAACGTTTAGCAGGGCTAGGAATTCGGTGACGACTCGACGCAGCCGCATGAATGTGATGTAGACGATCAAGTGCTTTCCCCGCGTGCGGTCGGTGCTTTCGTCGCATGAGATGCCGAGGTAAGGTGAGCTGTTGATGTGCTCCATCTGAGTAGCCAGCAGATGCGTAGAGAGACAGTTGACCATCTGCTGGAACCCGTACCTGCAGTGGCATAATCAGAAGTGAGACACTGGGTAATTAGCATTGGAAATGCATTGAAATTTACAAGGTTCATATCAAAATCCAACCATCAACCGGCGAAAGCCAGGTAGCCTTACCTGGTGAGATACACTCCGTACGACTGGAGAGGTATGTCTGGTGTGTCTTGCTCTGCCATGAAACGAAGCAGCCGGGGAAACATGGCGATAGGAGCGTCGTTCTTGCAAAGAAATTCCACGCACCGCAAAAGACGGATGACGCGGCGGCCTTCGACATCGACGGTGGCGAAGCTTGTCATCTTCTGCTGCTTGTCTTCAATTTCCTTTTGAATCTCGAGCTGCCGGCGAACTGCCGCTTCGTGGACTGTTGAGTGTTCATGAATGCGCATCGTCTGTGTCTGGAGATCTCGCCCGCCGTCGCCTGGCCTTGAATACTTCGTCGTTTCTTTGCCGAAGGCTCGGCAAACGCTGCACTTAAGAGCGGGGTAGCCATCTTTACTACGGGTAAGTACAAGCCATGGGAAATAACGCAGCCAATCATTCTTATACTTAGCCTCCGCGACTAGGTACTTCTGCTCGATCAATTCCTCTGTACTTAGCCTCGGTGGCGGCGGTTCATCAGGGCGGGTGACGGGGGTAGGTGAGCGCGGTGGTGAGGGAGGGCGAATCTGGCCACCTGAGTTGATACGCTGCTGTGTATACTTCGTCGTACGTTGTTTCTTCGCCGAAGAGACAGTCGATGCGCAGGGCACACTATAACGAACGGTAGAGGCAGTGGCGCAGTCAATAGGATCCACTGGTCCTCTGCTAGAAGATGCTATGGCTGGTGGGAGAACGAACGGAGCGGGGGCAGGTCTACTAGGCAACGATGGCTCATCGCGTGGGGTCTCGTTTACAACGGTTGTGGCGACAAAAGGCGGAGGAGCCGATGCGGCAACGGGCCGCAAGACATCTAGGGCGCTCCTTGGCGCAACGACAGGAACCTTACTGTTGCGCGGCTCATCACCGTCAGCTGGAGCATCGTCGTCGCCATCCTTTTCAGGCATGGCGAGAGGAGAAACGACGTGTAGGAAATGAAGACAGTGAGTACAACTACGTCTGTGTCGAAATGAACAACATGAAGGATTTCCCCTCTAAAACCTGAAGCAGTGCGTTCGAAGCTGGTGGGTAAGGAACAACTGGAGAAGAAGGGGTCCATCAAACCCGTGTCGCACCTTTCTTGAAAGGCGTGACGCGGTTTCGGGACTTGTCCATGCACAACACAGCGCCATGCTGCCTAGTCGATGTGTTGGCTGCAACTGCAGCCAATGGGGATGATGGCCAACCTCTGCAAGGCTGGCACAGAGGGCACGGGCCCTAAGTTCGCGCATGCACAGAGAGCAACAGAGCAGAATCTGTGGTCCTTAGTGGCTCGGTGTGGCAGCATTTTTGCTGCGCTGGGTAGCAGAGTGCCCACTATGGGCAGAGTATTCATTGGACTTGGCGGATTTTTCAAGGAAGTGTGGATTCTCCACGTGACGCGGGCGGGAATCACTGATGGCATGCGAAATTTCTAGGGATCTTGCGTGGCCCGTGGAAATCTGTTTCAGGGTTCGTACCCGATGTACTCTGAAAACTCAGTATTGGGTTAGCGTGAACTCTGATTTTTTCAGGATCCCTAAAGTCTAAGTCTGAATCGATCAGGATTGGGAAAATGCCTTATCTGGAAATTCAGGTTTAGCCAAAAAACCGGTCTGAGATTTCAGACTAATCAGAGTAAATAGTCTGATAAAGTCAGCCCTGGTGCCTACATGAAAAAAATGTGAAAATTGGCGTGGTTCAAGCTTCAGAAAGGTGAAATCTGTTAATTTAGAAAGCTTTTTTTTAAGCGAAAGTATACAATAACTTCAAGGTTCAAAGGGTTTTGAACTTTTAAGTGGGGTGGCGAAAGCAACGAGGGTGCACCATCGCAAAAAACCCAAGCACGGCCCACGAGGAACCTCGCAACAGAAGAAACGACCTCGCCAACGCTGGCGACGTCGCAAGCGTGGATGGCTGGCGATGCCCGGACCCCACTACGCCGGAGAGCCGTTCGCAAACACGCAAGTAGGCAAAGAAGATAAGCGAGTTCGTATTCAAAATATAATGAGGAACAAACACAGCCAAGCAACCAGCGAAGAGAGACGACAGAAACCTGGGAAAAAGAAAAAGGGTCATCGAGTGAATAGGCACTCCAGCCCCAAAACCAACTCCACCCAGCACAACCCACGACAGAAATAGAGTGAGCGAGTATAGGCAGCTCGACTGCAGGAAAGCACAGGTCACACCATGTCAAAGCCAAGTGCCGCAGTTACACGAGCGTCACTCACGCCACCCTAGTATCTCCCCCCCCCACCCCCCCCTCCTCGTGCGCACTAAGCAGGGAGCTGCCCGTGATCCTCGCCATAGCTTCTAACCCTATTTATTACACTCGCGAGCCCAAAGCTTTCGCGACCTCTCCCTCCCTCACCCCCGTTCTCGATAGAGCCTTCACCATTAGCTCACACCTAGCTAAGGGCCATAGGTGCCTAGCTGCGAAACCAGCACCTCCGCTAAACCCTTAGCCGTGCTCCTCACTACGGTTTCCCCGCACAGCTTACGCAATTCCCCCCCGATTTCAGGTGCGCATATCTCCTCCTCTCACGCCACAACTAGCTCCCCTCTGTCTGAGCTCACCTTCCCCCCCCTGACTGAGCTCACCTCCCTTCCCAACCAGGTCTCATTTCCCCCCCTGACTGAGCCCACCTCCCCCCCACACTAGAGCGAGACTTCCCCCCTGTCTGAGCTCACCTCCCCCTCCCAACCAGGTCTTATTTTCCCCCTTGTCTGAGCCCAACTCCCCCCTCACACCAGGCCAGGACTTCCCCCCTATCTGAGCTCACCTCCCCCTCCCAACCAAGTCTCATCTTCCCCCCTGTCTGAGCCCACCTCCCCCCCCACACCAGAGCGGGACTTCCCCCCCTGTCTGAGCTCACCTTCCCCCCCTCTCTGACCTCACCTTCCCACCCTGTCTAACCCCACCTTCCTCCCCAGCCAGAGCTAATTTTCCCACCTGTTAGAGCACACCTCCCCCCCCGGTCTGAGCTCACTTCCCCCCCTTTCTGAGCTCACCTTCCCCCCTTGTCTGAGCTCACCTTCCCCCCCTCTCTGAGCTCACCTTCTCCCGCTATCTAAGCTCACCCTCCCCCCCCCTCTGAGCCCACCTTCCCCCCCTGTCTGAGCTCACCTCCCCCTCCCAATCCGGTCTCATCTTCCCCCTTGTCTGAGCCCACCTTCCCCCCCACACCAGAGCAGGACTTCGCCCCCTGTCTGAGCTCACCTTCCCCCCTGTCTGACCCCTCCTTCCTCCTCTGTCTGACCCCACCTTCCTCCCCTGACTGACCCCACCTTCCCCCCCTATCTTACCCCACCTTCCTCCCCAGCCAGAGCTCATCTTCCCCCCTGTCTGAGCTCACCTTCCCCCCCTATCTGAGCTCACCTTCCCCCCCAGCCAGAGCTCACCTTCCCCCCCTGTCTGACTCCACCTTCCTCCCCAGCCAGAGCTCACCTTCCCCTCTTGCCTAAACCCAGAGACCAGAGGGCGGAAGGGGGGGAAGAGACCCGAGAGAGATGGCAGGAAAAGATGCGAGAGTGCAGGGAGGAAATGAGGCGAGAGAGGGGGGAGGAAGAGAGGAGAGAGAGAGAGGGGAGGAAGAGCGGGAGAGCGAGAGGGGGAAAAAAGAGAAGAGAGAGGGGGGAGGAAGAGAGGGGAGAGAGGGAGGAAGAGAGGGGAGAGAGAGGGGAGGGAGAGAGGGGAGGAAGAGAGGGAAGAGATCACTTGCCCCCTCTTCATTATCTGCTCCAGTAACTTCCGTCTCTCCTGAGCCGTCGATGTCGTATTGAACATCCCCGCTTGAATCACCTTTGCTTCGATCCCCATCTTGCTCTTCGCCCTCTCTAGAATCTCCTCCTCTATAGACCCCACGCTCACAAGCACAAACACCCGAGCCTCCCGCTTCTGGCTGATCCTCTGCCTGCTGGTCCATCTGGGGTTCCAATCCGAATCAAATAAAATCACCGTGTCGGCCGTCTGGAGATTCAGTCCCAAGCCGCCCGCCCGGGTGCTCAGCAGGAAGATAAGTACGGCGAGTCCGGCGCGTCGCGACCCCACCTTCGACCGCGCATGGCACGGGAAGGCAAGGCTGCGTGGCCTGAACAATGTCGCTAGAGCGCCACGCTAGCTGCAGCGCAGCGGTCCAATGGCAGTGTCCAGGCGATGTGGTGGCGGGACGGCGGGCTCTCGTGAAAGCGAGGGTTGGAAAGGGTTCGCGCCCCTCTAAAAATCGCAGTTTTTCGAGTCGGCGTGACGTGTGTTGTGCTTGCTCGGCGGGAAGGGCAAGGGACAGCGTCATGACCTAGGAGTGCATAGTAAACTCCAAGGCACTTCGCATCTTGGTGGGTTGGTGAGATGCATGTTTTGGAGTTCTGACCCTATGTCGTATGGCTGTTGCTCGACCAATCACCCATTTGCGCCTGCCAAGTTTCCCTCTGTCGCGGGCCAACAGGGTTACCAATTTTCCATTGTGTGGGTGTGTCAAGGGTTCACCACTCTGAATGTTCAAGGTCCTTTGAACCTTGAAGTTATTGTACACCGCTTTAACGAAACTGGGGTTACACACACCGCGAAGGCACTTTGGGACTTTGGCATCCCAAACCAATTAGTGCCCCTGGGATTCGCTGACTAAGCAAAACGAAATACACTCGCGAGAGGTTTGTCGAAATCAAGAGTATCGTCACTCACAAAATAACTAACCGTTTCATGTCATGTTTCTAAGCATGAACGTTTTGGACAGCTCCGTCTGGATAAATACCGTATTCCCCCGTATACAACACCCCGCAAAATTAAACTCCCATGGGTAGTTTGAGCGGACATGGGTGCTTTATTAAAGTGGATATTGATAACACTTACCTTCGGCGATTGCAAACATTTGAACACCCCCCCGCTTTATAAAATGTTATTTTTAGTCAATAAACAGAGCTACAAACATCAGATGTTAGATATCCTACGTATCCCATAGAGAACCAAGTCCTACAACTGCAGATTCTCATACTGCATGATGAGTTTCTATAGATTCTTCTGCACCTTCTCCAACACACGTTGCGCAATGGCACATTCTCCCATTGCATCCCCTGCTACAGCGTCTTGGGCAACTCGTGCTGCTTCCTCTCCCATCTTGTGGCTAGTCGTCGGCTTGAGCATCCGCAGCATCACCATCACAGTCTTCCGCATCAGCATCCTCCTCCTCAGGATCCCCAGCATGCCAGATCTCCACATCCTCTTCATTAGCGACCTCATCCCACCAGCAGTCGTCATCGTCCTCCCCAGCAATCCCCTCTACCGGCCATTCCCGAACAGGCTCATCCAGCGGGCCCTCTCCCTCGCATGCCAGCTCTTCAAGTAGGACGCCAGCGGCGTTATCGTCCTCATCGAAGTCGGGGGCGTCCACGAGGGGCTCAACAAAGCAGTCGTCGTACAGGGGGTTGACGTACTCATCCTCCCCCTCCTCCGCGTGCACATCGTCCATGATCTCCACCTCTGCCTTGCTGCGGAGGTGGCTCAGGACGAGCCGGTCTTCGGAGCCACTGAGGTCGTTGGCAATACTGCAGGTCCTGAAGCTCTTGCGGATGAGCTCCTCGGGGACTGCATCCCATGAGCGAGCAATCCACTTGAGGATTAGCTCCGGTGGGGGCTTCCTCAGATTTCCTAGAAGATACAGGGCACGCATGCTTTTGTTAGTCTTGTCGTTACACTTGCGTTACGCCCAGTAGAAAAAAAAGCCAGAGGCAATGCTGAAGGAAGTGGACCGTACCTTGCTTGGTCTTGAGATTGATGCCGAATCTCTCAAACCACCCGCCGTAATCACTTCGAACGCCTGCCTTGAAGCACTTGTTTACCGAGACGTCGAGGGGCTACACCAGCGGCGTGCACCCTCCCGGGATAACGGCGCGGGTAAACTTGAAAAGGCGCATCGTCTGTTCCACCGCCTCCGTCAGGTGGCCCTTGTAGGAGTCCAGGACGACGAGCGCGTCCTTCCTCCTCCCATTTGCTTCGTGCAATGGTTTCATGAACGGGTTCAGGACCTGGGTGACCCAGTCCTGAACATGCTTCTCGTCCATCCAGCCCTTGTTCTGGGCGCGGATTATTACTTCTGCATCAGTAAATAGTTAAATGTGTTAGAACTTAGATTACCGAGGCCACCAGAATCGATATCACCTTTGACAAGGGGAATATCTTACCAGCTGGGACTTGAATCTTAGGAACAGTCTTCCTATTGAAGATGACGTATGGCGGGAGCTTCTTCCCCGATGCCGTCACTGCCAGCATCACAGTGAGTCTTTCCTTCTCATACCCCGCTGTCCTCCCGTGAACCGTGCGCGCCCCCTTGTGGTCGAATGTCCTCTCCTGTGGCATCTCGATGAAGAGCGGCGTCTGGTCCGCGTTCACAATCAGGTCATTGCTGTAGTTGTTCAGGATGCGCATCTGCTTGACGAATTCCCAAAACTTTCCAATCTTCACCCTCATGTCTGCATTCATAAACTCAAGGACACGAGAAGGAATTAGATTGTAGACCGAGGCAATGTCTAAACAGGTAAGGAAGCTTGAGCGAATAGCATCCACCAGCCAAACTTACCTTTAGCTAATTTCTGATCCATTCTCGTTTTAACGCAGCGTGCTAGACCCCATCGGGCGCGAAACCGGAAGGTCCACCGACTGGACCCGCGCCAGTCCACGCCAGGATAGTGCACCCGCATGTAGGCGCGACTCCACTTCTGCAGCTGCGAGACCGAGACTGCGAGCCCCTTGGACCGATGCCTCAAGAAATGTCGATAGAGAGCTGACTCCATCACGGGGTACCTAGCCGGTCGACCGCCACCGACGAGCCTCTTCCGACAACCAGCCGCAACTCTCAGCCGCTCCCGGGCCTTCTTCCATTCCCGAATGCTAATGGGCTGAACACCTGCAAGCTTCGCGAGGGCACGAATAGACAGGTCAGGCCGTGCGTCAAACATCGCGAGCCAATACAGTTTCTCGGTAGCGGAATAGGAGCGACGTGCTCGTTTTATCATTCTGGTGCGGGGGGACGGTGGATTCGCATCGTGATTGATGGTGGGTCCTCTCGGCCTGACAACGGGTGACGGGAATGAGGGGAAAGTAACACGGGGCAGCGTACGGCGCTCCTGGCTAGCACCACTAGCCGCCTCGTCGGCAGTTGTGGCATCGTTGCTAGCTGTGCGGAGCGGGCTCCTAGGCGGAGATGAACAAGACGATCGCGGGACATGACGAGTGAAAAATGTCTGCCGGCCATGAGGGCCGCGTTGGGCAAGAAAGCGACTGAGACCAGAGCCCGTAGTCATGGCGTCGGTAGGCTAGAAGGATAAGATGCCTTCGACAGTCCATACTGGAGGAGTTATGAGAGCATCCTGATCTCGGATGCAGAAATGAGGGGACGAAGTGGGCTATACCCCTCGTGAGACGACGAGGGTGGAGAGGAGAGGGATGTGAGCTCCTCCCTTGTCATGCCGTACACGACACCCCCGTCAGGACCATCCAGCGCTCACACGCTGGACGCATCTTGAAGACTCCGTCAAGATGCCTCATGGTACCCTGCCAGATTCATCGACTCTGGCATGCTGGCATCGAGACGAGGTGCGCTGGCACACATCAGACAGGTAGCTGAGGAATCGGCGCAGACAGAAGACCCTCATTGGCTGCTGAACTCACCCTTGGGTGACACATGATCCCACTTGGCATGCCCCCGAGCCTTATTATCTCGTATGCGGTCAGAAGTCAGTTCAACAGGTTTTCAAGGTCTGGTTTAAGAACCCCTGTTTTTCTCTACATTGAACTATAAAATGCATGTTCCACAACACCCAGGCGTTATACAAAATTAGCCTCTAATCACACCCTCCTCAAAATTTAGATGCATTTTGGTTACCACCCTAAGGTGCTTTATACGAGGGAATACGGTAGTTTCAAAGGAATGAGAAAAGGAGGAATGGGAATAAATGTAAAATGTTACAGCACCAAAAATACGCTTTAAAGTGGAAGCGTAGGTGCATGCTCAGAACCATGAGCATCGTGATACGACAAGGAATTTGTAACATTCGTGAAAGTGACACGCGAGTCGTAACCCTTGTCGTGTCCAAGCTACGCGATGCACGAAGTGTGGTCGTTGAACGTTGATCGACAGTTGAGCCGACAGAAGTCCAAGGGTTCGTCATGACAGCAAGGACATATAACTGACCCTGTGATGCAGCGCAGGCAATTACCTGAATCATGTACAGTTACCTAAGTCGGATCTGGAACCCCAAAGGGAATGTACCCCTGTTAAGTGCATCTTAGGTAGACCCTTTTCATTCTCTTATATCACTATATGAACCTTGTATCCCTTTGCTATAATCAACACTGTTACTGTATGTTACATTCACTCTGACATGGTTCATCGAACTAATCAATCGCTTCCGCAAAGCACACTACTGCTGTTCAATCATGAAAGCGGCCCTTTGCACGACGCTGCTGGCTGAGCAGCACGATAAAGATCTCTACAAGGAGAGAGCCCCGCGCAAAGAGAGGCTAGCCTTTTACTCGGGCCAGAAGGGGCCTCGTCACGATACGTGCAGTCGCCGCTACTTTTGCAAACACTGCAACCTTTGGACACTCTACTAAGCACTGCCAAAACCGATCAGGAAGCAATGCAACACCATCCTACACGCCTAACCCAAGTGGAAGTCAATAGGGTCACTCCTACCAGAGGAGACCCATCGACGCTTCCCCCAAGGACCTGCCCCAGACTAGTCGCGTGTCCCATATAGACCAGCACCCAGTTCCACACCCTTCTGCATCATCGGACCCACGTCTGACTCAGTCAGGCTCACATGGTCAATCTACCCACCGCCAGGTCTTCATGGCGATGCGAGCTCAGGGACCCATCGACATCGCTGCATGCCGCAGCCACGCCCAAGTCAAGGAGACTTCACCCTGGCCATAATGGCATACGACTACAACAGCCCCTACAATGAGCACGGCAGCTACGAGATCGATGAGGAGGAGCTGGAATGGAATCTACCCATTCCCCTGCTGTAGTCGACCCCCTACATCACCGACACAACATTCGGAGGGGACAGACAAGTCTTGGACAACTTCCCAAGAGACCATCTCATGCATAAGTCGAACCGACCTTAACTGCTGATGCCGAGGATCGCGATGATCGCCCGCAACAGCCGCGACAACTACAACACATGGTACCTGTACAGTTGATGCGGACAGCTCATGGTTAGATCGGCGCACTTCATCTCCAACTCCCGCCATAGCCTACGTCACCATAGCCAATAACGAAAGGCTGGTGGCCAAGCCCAGGGAATAGTCGTCCTCCAAGCACGCAACACCCTAGCACGCA